AGCAAGTTTATGCACCCCGTCCTCATAATTTAACCCCTTTAAGACCTGGTATCATTCTGGTGAATCTGATACCACCTCCTCCAGAGCCAATATATCCTCCTGAGGTGCAGTGCCCAAAATTGAACCTGTTACTCCAGATGGGGTCTGGCCAAGGCTCTATATAGATTAAAGCATAATTTCCCCTCCTTTATATTCCAGCCCCCTTGATATAAAAGACAACATCCCTTCAGCCTTTTTGATAAGTTTTTGAACCTGTGAGCTTCTTTTTAGTGATTCGTGTACATGGACACCCAAATCCCTTTGTTCTTCCACAGATCATAGTTTCTGTCCATTTAGAAAATATTCTGTTTTGCTATTTTTGGATCCATAGTGGATGACCTCACACTTCCCCACATTGAATTCCTTCTACCACAGTTTTACCCACTCACTTAATCTGTCTAAATCCATTTGTCTCTTTGTAACATCTTGCTCCCATCTGGCTGCCGCATTTCACCCATAGAATATACAGTCAATTTACTTTACAGTATATTCTGTGAAGCGCTTTGAGACATCTCAAAGACATGATAAGACATAATACCAAATGCAAGGATTATTATTATATCTTGTGAAGCGCTTTCGGACATCCTCCTGACATGGAAGGCTCTATACTAAATACAAAGATTATTATTATTATTTTTGTTGTATAAGTGTGATTCATTGTTGTTGAGGCACTATATCAAATGTAAGGATTATTATTATCTACACAATTTACTGTGCCTCCTAATTTTGTGTCATATGCAAATTTGGATATAAAACTCTCTATTCCTTCATCCAAGACATTTTTATACTAAATTAGTAAAATACCTAAATGAATATAACATAATTTATAAAACAGTAGTAAAACAGTTAGACTAGGCCTCAGTCAGATGTATGTGCGCACGTACATACCAGAACTGACAAGCTGAAAACAATTAGCACATTTGGGAAAAGCACATGGAGCTGGTGGTGTTCTTGTGACATTTTCTGTTGGAAACGGTAGGTAAATCAGCTTTTTATCCATTTTTATCATGTCACTTGTGATTTGACATGCTTTTAAAATATCTTGTGTTCATTTATAAGTACTTTTAAATATATTAAAATAAAATATTAAATATCTACATGTGTCTGTCATCCACAAAAAGGTATTGTTGCAAATTTTCAGTGCATAGTACGAACGGCCCCAAAATCAATGTGATCTAAGTTTACGGCCCCCAGATCCCTTCATCTAGCCTTGGGTGGATCAGTGGGCTCATCTGTGCAGGCATAAGGGTCAGTTAAGGCTGCAGTAGACTGGCCATTTGAAATTTAAATTTGAGAGCCCATGAATCTCTGGCTATTCAGTGTTACGTGATTTCCAGAATCTGCAGCAGTGAATCATTACTCTAGTATGACATGCCATGGAGTAGTAGCATGTGGAAGTTGTACTTATGAGTCCTCTCAGGCTGAGTTCTGATTTATCCTGTGCTATATAAAACAAAACAGCAATTTACAGTTACAAAGCACAGGATCAACTCTGTTGCACTATTGTACACCCCACACTAGTATCAATTTCTGCAGACATTTCTCTGGCACAATTTTTACTAGGTATGACATGTCTGAGGTTTTGACTCTGGAAACGCTACAGTACTTCAATTAGATCTCATCATATTTAACTGAAGTCAATACACTCTGAAGTCCTGTAGGTTTGTGTGTCATTGTGTTTGTTATGCAAATTTTGTATTCTCAGGATGAGCAATGCATAAATATCAAAAACAATCTCAGGATCATTACACCATTAACCCACAAGATGACTCTGTTGTCCACAAATACTTCACGTCTGTTTGTGGGATATTGTTGTGTGCAAAATTCATAAACTATAGGTGTAACCAGGTATTATAATTCTTAGTTGCAGGCTAGTGTTATCTGCAAGATCTAATTGAAAGTTTTATCATTACCATTGATAGGAAAGCATAGATGGACCAGGAAACCATCTCATTGATCAACTCAACCACTGGGATGAAAAGATTCCAACATGGGTAAGTGAAAATTGAATCTCACTTATTGTGTGCATTCACGTACAGCCTTTACCATCACACCTTCATTTAATTTATAATAAGCAGACAAGCAAATAACATATCCACTTTTCTTTGCATTTTTATGCATTAACAGGTTAGATTTCCATCTTAAGGAAGAAAATTGAAAATTTTCAGTTTAGGAATTCCACTTTCACCAACCCAATAGATTAGATCTCTGATAATAATCTACTACAGGAGGGCACAAAGCAATTTTGACAAATTCTATTAGTGTATATGCTAAATTTATTTTAAATGTAGGAATAATGTGATTTTTTCAAAAATCATTTTCCATACTAAAATTCACGTATTAGCAATTGGGTATCAGGTGTGGAAACAGCCAAATGGCTATTACCTTAGTTCAATGGCTATTTAAAGCAATCTGGAATGTCACAGAAAATGTATTGGACTGAACGGTAACATTTTCTCTGAAAGTGGATAGAATGAAAATATCAAAAATAGATGGAAGGGAGCTGCAGAATTATTTTCGCACTCAGAGAAATGGTTGGCTACATTCTATTCTACATGCTATTCTTCATTCAAATAACACTGCATTCCCGGGAGCTTGAATGTGGTCAGCGTGAAGGACCAAAAACCTCTTACATAGAAACCCTTTTAACCTGACGTTGCGGTGAGAATTTGACCTCTTGCTCTAATTCACATTCTTGAACAGGCACAAGTGTCTTTGTATCATAAACTTGATTTTCCAGTTAAGTTAGTCATTTAGCCGTGGTGATGGCCTTTCCTGAAATTGAACTCAAAGGGAAGGACAGAATGTTAACGGTCCCTGAAGCATATAAAGGCAAATAAAGTTTTAAGAACTTATTGTTCTAAGTTCCATCTACTTTGTAATCACATCTCACCTAACCTTATAGATTTATCCTTATTTATCAGCAGATTTCATTACAACCCATTACAAGCTAAGGTTGTAACATCGTTTGCGATGACACAAAATTAGGAAGCACATTAAATTGTGTAGATAATAGTAATAATCCTTGCATTTGATATAGCGCCTTATCACGTCTTTGAGAAGTCTCAAAGCGCTTCACAGAATATACTGTAAAGTGAATTGACTGTTTATTTTGTGGGGAAAATTTAGTGATGCTAAACCATCTCAAACTCATTGATCTGCAGAATGGAGTCCTGTAGCTCAGTGGTTAGAGCACTCGCTTTGCAAGCGAGAGTCCCGAGTTCAATTTCAGACAGGGCGAAACCTTGGGCAAGTTTCCTTACTCCACAGAGCCTAATAATAATCCCTCCAAAACCAAAAACAATAATAATTTGGTTATTTTCAATCCACGACTGTTTGTGGGACATTGCCGTGCACAATTGGCTGCCGCGTTCGCCCACAAATATAGAGTCAATTCACTTTAATGTGTTCTGTGAAGCGCTTTGGGACGTCCTCCCGACGTGAAAAGGGCTATATCAAATGCAAGGATTATTATTATATTAGAGGATGCATCACCAAATTCACTTTTGTGATTGTGTCATTAATATGCAGCTTCTTCATATATGCCTTTACTGATTATGAAAAGTAGGCTGCAAACTATCAATGAATGATTAAGAGCATCGGAAATAGAATAGTAAACACAAGAAACGCTATACCAACTGTTTTAATCTTTATTATTCTGAATTCTTCTAATGCCAACCTGTTCTAGAGTGACAAACTAACGCAAGTATGGTACATGTTGAAATATATGAATCTTTTTCAAAAAATGTTTCTATTCCATCTCATGGTACATGTGTTTTATCTATTCCATAGATCTTTGGAACTTTTATTTTTAGAAATTTAACATATTCCTTAACAATGAATTGCTGAAATTAAAATTGCTTCAACATTTACAAGGCAATTAAATAATCTCAGCAGCTATATCCATGAATATATTTGAGAGAGCAATCTATCCACTCTCACAGACATTGCAACATATACAAGATGCATTCTCTTTGCTAATTAGATCAGGATTAAAGTAACACATCAAGAAATGTTAATATGCCCTTGGGGCGGACAAGATGTTCAAGAAATCCCTTTACATGAGGCTTTGAATTACAAATTGTAGTATAAATAAATTGACTTCACATGTTTTACTTGTTTCCATTAGAAGCATAGATGAAGCTAATGATATTACATTTCAAAGGTGAAACATTTTAGAAGATTAATTAAAGTTTTAAAAATATTTACAGATTACAATCCTGCTAAGTAAATTGTGAAGATTTATAAAAACATATCATTTGAATTTGCTATACCCAACCTTCTCAAAACTGCATAGAATCAACAGCACCAAATTCAGCCATCTCAGTGACTGGCTATGCTAGATCACATGATATGAATCTCAAAGTACATTGCCTTTAGTTATCAGCTTCGCTCAGACAGGAACACTTTATGGATTAGAAGATTGTGGGTTCAAACTCTATCCGGGGCCTTCAGCTCATAGTCCTGGCTGATTCTAAACTGCAGAACTGGTAGAGCATTGCATTGTTAGAGGCATTTTGCTTTGCGTGTGTGTATTTTATAAAATGCAACTGATCTTACATGGTTGTTCTGATGGATGTTAAAGCTCCCACTAGGATTATTCGAAAAGGGAGTGTCTTTTATTGCACTTTGTTAAACACAAAGGCCAGCTAAGCGGTTGTAGCTGATTAGACTCCAGCAGTACACCAATGCACACCTCTGGGGTCCCTGAGCCTTGGCACTTGCCAAACTGCGCTTAATACTTTTCGGCATTAGGTAAGCAGGATGCATCTCTCCAGGGATGGAGTGTACATTCCATTCCAATAATCTATCTCTGGAATATCCATATGTAGGTGGGATGCATGGAATTGTTTGGCTTGGATATTCTTAACCATGGTGATGGGTTTTTGCATTTGTCAGAAAAAAAATGTTAAACACCATTGAACTTGTTACACCATTACTGTGAAATAAAGATATCCAGACACAGTTCCAACACTTTTTATTTCGCAAGAGTAAATAAAACAAAGTTTGGTCTTGCTATAATACCCACGTGGCCAAAGATGCACAGCACCACTAGAATATTCACAAATAAACCTAAGTTATTCTTTGATCAATAGTTTTTTTAAAAAATGGTAATTAAATACCTGAAAAATACTGCTGATAATGTGGCTTGTTCCAACACATCTAAAAAGCTTTTCAAAAAAAATCTAAAAAAGGGAAAACTAGACATGTTACATAGTTGCATTATCAAATATAAATTCGTAATTCTTATATTAAAGTACTGAAACAAGTATATAAATGATTTTTACAATGATGTTTTTAACACTGAATCTTTCTGAAGTAAATTCTTGTAATACTGCAAAGCTCACAAATTACATCTGCATCAGTTTATATTTGAATCTCATCAGTGAGCCTTTTGGCAGGGATGAGGGTGAAAACTATTGAAAGTACAAACATTGTTCACTTTAAACATGATTTCAAATAGACAATTTAGCAAGGTTTATCGGTACATGTGACAAGCAATAATTATTTTCTTTCCATAAAGAATTACTACTTATAAAATATAAAGAATGTTGCTCATTTTCTTGAAATAGAAAAAAAACAAAAGCTCCATTTGAAAGCTTTTAATGAAGAAGTACTGTGATGTTTGAAAAGTGTTACAGTCGCTGGCGTATTTTATAAAGTGCTGCTGATGGAAATGGATCTAATGCCTTTTCTGCATCTGTCCAGTTGTGAAAATTTGCTTGATACCATTCAACTATTCAAAAAAAAACAATATAGTTATTTTCATAAAAACAAATATAGGAAGACTACAAAGATCATTATAATACTTAATATTTAAGAGAACAAACTAGGCAGCAAGAGAAAACTAATCATTTTGTTTTTTGTATAAATTCAGTGCATCTAAATATTTTTCTAATTTTCTCCCCACTGACATATGTGTCTATGCTCCTGGTCCCCAACCTCCTCTTGCTGGGGTGTGGTTCCATAGGTGTTGGTTGTTATGGATCCTAACTATGTGGCAATTTAGTTGTTTGAGCCATGGAACGGATTATCAGGAGTTCACTTGACTGTGGAGAGCATCATAGCCAATCCTGACCTCTCCTCTTTAAACTTCCAGTAGAGGGTGCTGTAAGAGGGATCAGAAAAAAGAACACTAGCTGGCTTTCTCCTCCTCAATCTTTGGAAGCTTAGTGCCAATTTAGCACTAAAATGTTCCTCATTTTCAATTTAAATTTTTAATTAAACTACGAATACCTTTGGAGTACTGCTACGTTCAGGGAAATTCCTAGAGCAGCAACTTTAGAAAAAGCTTATTCGCCCTGATACAAATATTTTTTTATTACATTTTTCAAAAAACACAAATCTAAATCAACAATATAGTAACATTTGCACAAGTCTGACCTGTATAAATGGTATAATTGCCTAAGTCGTACATCTGCCCAAGTCCGGTGGAATTTCCCTCTCACTTATGCAGGTTTCACACAACTAATACTTTGCATAGTCATATTGAATGTATGGTCCCAACTGAATATGTGAGGTTTACTGCAGAAGTAGTTTATACTTATCCTCCAATTTAGGCTTAAATGTCTGTCTTAAATGTTAATTAATATCTCTAATCTAATTATTCAATATTTTTTCTATTTTTTGAAGAAGTTTAAAGCACTTTCCCTGTTTTTTTTATTTTCCTTCACCTACGAACTAGCGAGCGAGCGAGCGACCGACTGATTTTATTTGGGGGATTTGTTATCCAGGACACCAGCAGAAACTCTCTTCTCTTTTCGAATAGTGCCATGGGATCTTTAACATCCACCTGAACAGCCAGACAATGGATGTTAAAGGCAAACGGCACCTCTAACAATGCAGTATCTCCCAGCACTGGACTGGAGTGTCATCTTAGATTATGTGATTCCAAGTCCTGATGTAGGGCTTGAACCCACAACCTTCTGTCTCAGAGGTGAGTGTGCTACTACTCCACCAGGCGACAATTCTTATCAATTAAATTTACATATCTCAAACTTAAATGGAATTTGTTATTCTATACATACACCTACCCACTCCTTTTTTCATATAGTTTCAATTCAGCTATCAAATAATAATAATCCTTGCATTTGATATAAAGTCTATCATGTCTTTGAGATGTATCAAAGCACTTCACAGAATATACTGTAAAGTGAATTGACTGAATATTTTGTGGGCGAAATGCGACAGCCAGTCGCGACAGTGTCCCACAAACAGTCGTGGGTTGAGTGACCGATTTTTTTTAAAAGGAATTATTACCCCCGGTAAAGCGAGCCGTCAATCGACTAACAATCAGCTTCCTACTTACTGCTAAATAAACAGAAGCGTGTGGAGTAAGGAAACTTGCCCATCGTTTCGCAGTGCCGGGAATTGAACCCAGGTCTCTCACTTGCGAGGTGAGTGTTCTAACCACTTAGTTACAGGACTCCAAATGGATGGTTTAATCCACTTCGGTCTTCCTCTCTTCAGATTTTTGTTATTTTCTTTCTCTCCATCACTTGTTCTCTCAGAACTGTAGATAAAGTAGAAAGGATGATGTGAAATAGTTGGTTCACATTGGCCGTGGAGAAATTGGGAAACATGAAGTGATAGAAATTGGAAAATATGCTGTTCTGAAAGGAAGTTATGGGGCTGTGACTAAGTATGTACTTTTTAAAGAGGTGAATTTAACCAAAACCAAATCCCAAACTAACTGCACAGATAACCTACATATACTATGCAAAGTGAACTACAGATGAATATACTTCGGAAAGCAGTTTGCGTATTTTGGATACAAAAATGCTGTTGCATATCCCTCAAGAAAGCAGTGCATAAGGCCAACCTAACCAACCTGTTCCTTTCAGTTTGTCTATAATTTGCACTCTTATATATCCCATACTCACTTAATCCTAAGAAAATAAAATCTATAAATAGTCTTCCTGATCATTTAAGACAGTCTAGTAAAACTATTATTCAATAATTATCTTGCCTTTACACCTCCATTACACAAACCAGGCTAGCTGGTTTCCTCAATTTTTTTGGAATTCTTTCCAATAATCAATGTCTTTTTAATATACAGTTCTTGCAAAGTATTCCAAACAATACCTCATTAATGGTTACAAGGTTAGAATAGATCTTTTTTGGATGTCAGCTTGGCTTAGTCAGAAGCACTCTCACCTCTGGGTCAGAAGATGGTAGGTTCACATCCTGTGTGTGGAGCTTGAGAGCTCATGGTGCAGACCTACTCTCCCCTGCAGGGTTGGGGAGTGCTGCATTATTGGAGGTGTCATTCGTCAAATAAAATGTCAAACCAAGATACCATAACATAACATGTAGGAGCAGGAGTAGGCCATTCAGCCCTTCGAGCCTGCCCTGCCATTCAATCATGGCTGATCTTCTAATCTAACTCCAGCTAATAACCTGACCCTGCCTTATCCCCATATCTCTTAATCCCTTTTGCAATAAGAAATCTATCTATCTCAGTCTTGAATATGTTCAAGGACTGAGCGTCAACAGCCCTTTGGGGTAGTGAGTTCCATACATTCACCACCCTTTGAGTGAAGAAATTCTTCCTTAACTCAGTGCAAAAGGGCTGGCCTCTGATTTTAAGGTTGTGACCCCTGGTTTTAGTTTCTCCAAACGGGGAAACAATCTCCCACTATCTACTCTATTATGCCCTTTGATGATCTTATAGGTTTCTATAAGATCCCCTCTAATTCTTCTATATTCTAGAGAATATAGGCCCAAATTGGTCAGCCTATCCTCGTAACTCATCCCCTTCATCCCTGGCACTAACCTAATAAATCTACGCTGCACCCCTTCCAAGGCAAGTACGTCCTTCCTTAAATGAGGAGATCAAAACTGCACACCGTATTCCAGGTGTGGTCTCACCAGGGCCCTATACAGTTGCAGCAAGACTTCCCTACTCTTATACTCTAATCCTTTCATAATGAATGCTGACATACCATTCGCCTTCCTAATTTCTGCTGCACCTGCAGACTAACTTTCTGTGATTGGTGTACAAGGACACCCAAGTCCCTCTGGACACTAACACATTCCAATCTCTCCCCTTCTAAAAAATAACCCGCTCTCCTGTTTTTTCTACCGAGGTGGATGACTTCGCACTTCCCTACATTATACTTCATCTGCCACCTACCTGCCCAATCACCTAACCTATCTATGTCGCGCTGCATATTTTTATTGTCGTCCTGTGTTGACACTTCCTCATAGTTTTGTGTAATCCGCAAATTTAGATATATTAACTTCAATGTCCTCATCTAGATCGTTGATGTAGATGGTAAATAGTTGAGGCCCAAGGACTGATCCTTGTGGCACTCCACTAGTCACATCCCGCCAATCCGAAAAGGACCCATTTATCCCTACTCTTTGTTTCCTATCCGTTAACCATTCCCCAATCCACGTTAATATGCTCCCCCCTATTCCATGGGCCCTTATCTTTTGGACTAACCTTTTATGCGGCACCTTATCGAATGCCTTCTGGAAGTCCAAATAGACCACATCCACTGATTCACCCTTATCTAGTTTACTGGAAATGTCCTCAAAAAACTCTATGAGATTTGTCAAACATGACTTCCCTTTTGTAAAGCCATGTTGACTTGGCCTAATTATATTGTGTTCCCCTAAATACCGCACTACCACATCCTTAATCAACGATTCTAAAATTTTTCCTATCACTGATGACTAACTGATGACTAACTGATGACTAACTGGCCTATAGTTCTCCATCTTTTCCTTTCCACCTTTTTTAAATAGTGGTGTGACATTTGCGATCTTCCAATCCATGGGGACTGCTCCAGAATCCAAGGAATTTTGGAAGATCAGACATAAGGCCTCCACTATCTCATAAGTTACCTCTTTTAAAACCCTGGGATGCAAGCCATCCGGACCAAGGGATTTGTCACTTTTTAGTGCTAACAGTTTCCTTAGCACCAATTCTCTACTAATGAAAATTTCCCTAAGTTGCTCCCTGTCCTTATCCCTTTGGTGCATCTCTATTGTTGGCAGACTTGTTGTGTCTTCCAGGGTGAAGACAGATGCAATGTACCCATTTAGGGACTCTGCCATGTCCTTGTCCCCCATTACAACTTCTCCCGTCTCTGACTGAAGTGGACCTTATTTACCCTCACTGGCCTATTCCTCTTAATATATTTGTAAAAACTTTTATAATCAGACTTAATGTTCCGAGCTAGCTTACCCTCAAACTCCTTTTTCTCGCTCTTAATGAGTTTTTTAGTTTTATTTTGCTGGTTTCTAAAACTCTCCCAATCTTCAGATTTGCCGCTTTTCTTGGCAATTTTATAAGCCTTTTCTTTTAGTTTGATGCTTTCCCGAACTGCTCTAGTTAGCCACGGATGAATTGCTTTCCCTGTGGTACTCTTATTCCGCAAGGGAATATGCGACCGCTGAGAATTTTGCACTACATCCTTAAATATTTGCCACTGTTGGTCTACATTTTTACCTCTTAATCTTATTCTCCAGTCTATTTTACTTAAATCTTTCCTCATACCTACAAAATTAGCCCTATTTAAATTCAGAATACGTGCCTCGGATTTAACTATATCCCTCTCTAACTCAGGGAATCTGTAGCTCAGTGGTTAGAGCACTCGCTTTGCGAGCGAGAGACCTGAGTTCAATTCCAGGCAGGGCGAAACCTTGGGCACGTTTCCTTACTCCACACGCCTAATAATAATCCCTCCAAAACAAAAAACAATAATAAAATTGGTCATTTTCAATCTACGACTGTTTGTGGGACATTGCTGTGCGCAATTGGCTGCCGCGTTCGCCCACAAATATACAGTCAATTCACTTTACAGTGTGTTCTGTGAAGCACTTTGGAACGTCCTCCCGACGTGACAAGCGCTATATCAAATGCAAGGATTATTATTATTATAATGCAGAATTCAATCATATTGTGATCACTCTGCCCTAGAGGATTCTTAATACCTACACTGCCAACTAGCCCTGCTCCGTTACACAAAACAAAGCCTGTCCCCTAGTTGGTTCCTCGGCATGCTGCTCTAGAAAGTTATCTCTCATACACTCAATGAATTCTTCTTCTGACCTACTTTTGCCGATTTAGTTTTCCCAATCTATGTGGAGATTGAAATCACCCACTATTATCGCTTTACCTTTCCTACATGCTCCACTGATTTCTTGATTGATACCCTGTGCTATATTGTGATCGCTGTTTGGGGGTCTATAAACCACTCCCATTAATATTTTCTGCCCTTTATTATTTTTTATTTCCACCCATATTGTCTCGACCTCCTGGTCATCGGATTTCAGATCCTTCCTCTCCACTGCTTTTATTTTATCCCTAATTAACAGGGCTACTCCCCCACCTCTTTTCCCACAGTACCTATCTTTCCTGTAAACTGAGAACCCTGGAATATTTAACTCCCACCCTAGATCTCTTTGTAACCATGTTTCAGTGATGGCTGCTAGATCATACCCATATGTGTCTATCTGTGCCTTTAGTTCATCAGTTTTATTCCGAATGCTTCATGCATTCAGATATAACATTTTTAATTTCCTACCATTTCCTCTACTCTCTGATTCCTTATCTGCTTTGCCAAGCTTCTTACCTCTAGTTAACATATTCCTATTATCTGGCATGCTATTCTGCACTGTCATCGTTACTTTTTCTAATGCTAACTTATGGTTTATCTTACCTATATATTCCCCCCCCCCTCTACTAGTTTAAATTCCTATTTATTTCCCTGTTAATTCGTTTAGCTAGGACATTTGTCCCAGCACGATTTAAATGCAGCCCTTTTCTTCGAAAGAGCTCTCTTTTCCCCCAATATTCGTGCCAATGGCCCATAAAAAGAAACCCGAGTTCCGCACCACTCTTTTAGTCATGCGTTCAAGTCCTTAATTTGCTTATTCCTGTACCAATTGTCGTATGGTACAGCCAGTAGTCCTGATATTACCACCTTCGATGATCTCGACTTCAACCTGTCTCTTCAGGTGGTCATAAAAGGATCTTGTGACACTATTTGAAAATAATGTCCAACATTCCTCAAGTTGAGCCCCTGGCTGTGTTTGTGTTACAGTGTTGACATTGCCTGCCTAAAAATATACAGTCTACACTTTGCAGAAAACTGTGAAGATCTTTAGAGACATTTCAACATGATTGGCTCTATGCAAGGATTATTATATTATTACTTCAATTCAAGACACACATAACATGGTTGGCCTTCCTGATAACAGCTTCACAATGAGTCACAAATCAACATGCAGGTCTTTTCCCTTTCAAAGACAAATTCTGCCACATCTGAGCCTATCCACTTAATGTGTCCAGATTTCTTTGAATGCCCCTATATTTGCAATTCTGGCTGGATAATTAATCAACAAGTTGAGCATTTCCCCAAATACTTATCTCAACAATCATTTATGTATAATGTGAACAGCAAAGGACTCAGAATTGACCCCTTGGGAGCTCCTCTTGTCATCCCATTAACAACTTTTTGCAGAACATTAAGTTGTCAGGATCAACGGAATAAGTAAAGATAAATGGTTTAATATTTTTTTGTTAAAACTGCCTTAGCATTTATTTTAATTGATTAGCATTAGCTGAATCTAATTTGCAGGATTTCTTAAGATGAAAATAAGAAGTGTGTTAAACCAATCTGCAGAAACCATACACCAACACAATCTACTTTTGCAGTGCAAGTTGATAGGAATTTAAATCACTGACAGAGCTTTTTGTCACTGATCCTATGTTCCTAACCTCTGGAACTCCTTCCCTCTACCCGTCCATCTTGCCAACTCCCTATGTGCCTTTAAGTCCATTATACCAACCTCTTCAAATATACTTATGATTACTTCTCCCTTCCCCTACTCGGTATCTGATCCCACCATTAGAAATGCTATAAATGTGATCCTACCTGAAGGGCATTATATAAATGCAAGTTGTTGTTATTATTAGCTGAGTAGCAGCTCATTTTACAGAGCAAGAATTCATGGGAAGACCAGTATATTCTGTAGCAGAATTCAACAGGAAATACTGGATAAAGGTAATCCTTATTAGGAATTCTGTTATGAAATGCTGTAAATGAAACATTGGTATTATGCTAACAAATTATTTATAATGTTTGAAGCTTAATTACCATGCTTTTGCACTGTATTTGAGCTGAGGACCTATAGAATTGCTCAGTTTACAAAGATAGATGTAAGGATTTTTTCCACAATCGAGGGAGGTAAAAGGAAAGTTACACTTAATAACCTACTCTGTATAGTTGTGCTCATATTTGACAGAGAAAGTATTTTCCACATACCAATTAGTATCCTTAAGGAAAAATTACGAGTATTTTAAAAGACAGCATTTTATTTTTAAAACGTATCTAACAGATTCTTTAATACTGTGCTATATATATATTAATAGTATCACAAATAATGCTCACTTGTTTTTCGAATTCCATCTTCCCACACTACTTTTGGCCTCCATCCAAGTTTATGCAACTTTTTGGAATTCATTGGGTACCTCAGGTCATTGGAAGGTCTAGTAGAGAAAACCAAAAGAGAAAATGCTATGTAATACAGAGGAACTTCACTGGGTTCAATCTCACCAACTACATAATATGTGAAGCACGAACTTCTGGGTGGTCAGGTCACGGTGCTTCTTGCGCATGCACATCATGCAAGAAGTGATATCAGTGGTGATCTGACAACTTGGTAGTTATTTATTTTAGGATGGGAATCCAGCTAAACAATATCAGGTGGACTGTGCCTCCAGTTAGATCAAATTCACGGTAGACCAATCTTCTATCAAAGAGTGCTATTAGGCTGACGTCTTGTTTTAGAACAGTGACAAAAGAATACATTCTTGAATTTCAAATATTAATCATTGTAAAATACTAGAGAGCAGAATGTCCTACTAACTAAAATGTTATACAGCTAAATAAATATATACACTTTGCAGTATATTCTGTAAAGCACTTTGAGACATCTCAATTACATGATAAGGCACTACATCAAATGCAAGGATTATTATTATTAGATATCGAGTGATTCCTTGAGATCTATTTGATTTCAAGATCCTCATCCTCACCTACAAGGCCATTCACGGCCTTGCTCCCTCCTACCTCTCCGACCTACTATCCCCCTACCTACCTGCCCGTACCCTCCGTTCCTCTGGCTCCGGTCTGCTCCACGTCCCCCGCCCCAATCGCCCTACCATCGGTGGTCGGGCCTTCAGCCTCTCAGCCCCCAGGCTCTGGAACTCTATCCCCCAGTGCCTTCGCCTTGCTTCCTCCCTTTCCTCCTTCAAGGCCGGTCTCAAAACCTTTCTCTTTGACCGAGCCTTCAGCTCCCCTCTCGACTCTCTACCCCCTCCTCGCTCCCTCCCTTCCCTCCCCTTACCCTGACCATTTCCCCCCTGCTCGGGTCATGACCCAACTGTGCAGCGCCTTGGGACGTCCTCCTGACGTGAAAGGCGCTTTATAAATGGAATCTTGTTGTTGTTGTTGTTGTTCACCTGAACAATGGTCACAGTCATTGCTGCATGTTGCTATTAAATCATAGGGTCCATTGCATTACCATCAGATCCATTTGTAACAAAGATTTTAATGTACTACGCGGGCACTGCATCATCAGAGATGTTAAACCCAAAGTTGGCATATCATTGGGTGAAAAATCACTATGGTTGCCATGTTTATTTACAAAAAGAGACATTATACATGATGCATATTGCTTAAATATGCATTCAGATTTGGGGGGGTTAAAAAATTAGAATTATATTTGAAAATTCCAATATATTTTTTCTGACCTGTCTTGGACATGTTCGATCCATAGTTCCATCTCAGACTCTGACACAGTGTCTTTGATCTGTAAATATAAACAAAGTAATTTTAAACAAGGGTCAGAAATACAATAATTAATTGTTCAATTTTTTCCGTCAAATTATACACTCAGTCAATATTTAAACAGGTTCAGGCAACACATGAATTACTAAAGAAAAGTAAAATTCCTCTTGGTATTACATGGAAAACCAGTTTAAATATAAGGATCTAAATAATAGGATCTAATTTAGGATTACATATATACAGGACTTGACAAATGTTATTCTCTACCAAAATAGTACCACAAATGTAATGTTTCTTGATTGACTATCATTCATCTCTCCTGATAACTGTAGATAGTGATCTACACCAGAGGATCACTATCACAATTCTTTGATATTTTAAAACTAATATTCTCCCCATCTGTTCTTCTGAGAATACTAACTTCGCTCTGGTTTGGATCAATGGGGATCTTTGTCTGACACCTCATCCAAGTGTCTAGGCTCACACATTTCCATTGCACGTTTGTAAATAAGATATGGCATTTTTCAAAATGTATTATTATTGTATACTGTAAGTACATTTTTCTTTTTGCTTGACATTTCCACAAGATTATCAATAATACACGAATAGACTTTATTCATTCTTTTGCCCTTGGCAATTATTGAAAAACACACAATTGTACAATAGTGACAGGGTCAAACAAGTGGACAGATTGAAGTTTTTTACTTCAATTTAGCAGAATTATTTCCATTTTAATATCAAATGCAGGGATGATTATTATTATTAATTAAGAATATATTTGGATTAGAAGAGGAATTTAAACCAAGTTAACTGAAGAAAGACGTCATGTATCTTTGAAATGACAATGGAGGAAATAAAGGTGACGAAAATATATTAGTGAAGAAAATATTTCATTTGCGTGTTTTGAAAGACATAACAAGATGTTATTTCTTTCCAATGTTTTTCTTACCAAATGAACTAACTCCTTGGCAAGCTGAATGATAGACATCTCAAAATTTGTGCCAATGTTGTAGATTTCACCAGGTTCACCCTTCTCTAAAAGAGTCAGGAAGGCTTGTGCTACATCAGTAGCGTAAAGAAAATGTCGTGCCTGAACTCCAGTTCCATGAATGCAACTGTGGAAGAGATGTAATATATATATTTCTACTAAATAAACATAAAAGTTATTGTTAACTACTTTGTAAATTGTAAGCACAATTCCAATATTATTATTACATGATAGATATTTAGACATGGTTAGACATTTTAATGATTTTAAAATGCTTAAAATGTTCTTCCTCAAATTAAGCTTGTCCCTAGTTCATTTTTGAGGTCTATTCATTCAAAACTCCCCCACCCACATTCTCAACCGCACCCCGATTACCCCAGTCCTTGCCAAACTCCACTGGCTACCTGACACAGAGCGGATCGACTTCAATATCCTCTCTAGTGTTTAAATCCTTCCACACCTTGGCACCCCCCTATCTTTCTAACCTCCTCTCTCCTCACAGGACTACCTGTTGCCTCCGCTCTACTGGCTCCGGCCTCCTCCTTGTTCCTCGAATCCTCCGCTCCACCATCGGCGGTCGTGCTTTAGCCACTACACCCCGAAGCTATAGATCTCCCTCCCTCAATCCCTTCACCTTGCCCCCTTTCAGGTTGCGCCTGAAGACCTTCCTCTTCGACAGTGCCTATGATCACCTTCCTCCTTCCCCTGACTCAGCATCAGGCTCCACCATTGTTAAGCGCTCTGGGACGCCGCCTGGTGCGGAGGGCGCTATATAAATGAAGTTGTTGTTGTTGTCTCGATAGCAGGTGTTTATAGATAGGATTTTGACCATGTAGAAGGTAGAAAAACTATGGGTTCATTTAAAAAAAACTACAATGAACCTTCATTTGAAGTTATGACTTGATATATGACAGGTTATCTATCAGAACAATAGTTGTCCTGGAGGTAGAGAGGAAGAGTTAGGTTCAATTCTATTATGGGAAGGAAAAACGTGTGACAGTAAAATAAAAATGTATTCTATCTAAATGTGTGCTAAGCTCAAGAGTGACAGTTTCAACTCCTATAAAGCTACATACCATTTCCGGTTATGCTGCAACAAAGCGATGAATTTTGGAATGACCTAAAGAACAATAAAAACAATCACTTTTTACTAAGTTGCTAAATAATGTATCTTACAAAAATATTAGAGTGCAATATTTTTAAAGCTATCGTTTGGTTACTTCATTACATGTATCTTTTGATTACATTTAATTAAAAACAAGGCATTGTCATGCTAAAAAAAGCATTGTTATGATAAAATTCCCCAAATATTCACAACATTTTGTTCATTTACCTGCCCATTTACCTGCCCTGGAATTTTAAAAAATCAATTGTTTCAATTCCTCTAAAGCTACTTTTCATTTATGGTTATGCTGCAACAAAACTATTACTTTTGGAATGACAATTTTACTAGTTACAGAGCTAAATGTTTGTTTTCAATTTTAAAAATAGTGAATTGGCTATTAATCAGAACAATCATTATGTAGAGGCACAAGTAAGGTATGCTAAATTAAAAAATAATTAAAGTTTTGAGTTGTCCACAGATTTATGTTGTTTTGATAAACAGTCACAAACCTGGTACTGCTTTCACAATGATCAGATTCTGCGTCGTTTTTTATGGAAGATAAAGGTAAAATTAATTAATTACACTTGAGGTCTCGTATACCATGACAGTCGAATTACTCCATGTGTCTCCAATTGTTTATGCAAACCATGGGTTTTGCTTGAATTATGCGTGGAGCAAAAAAGTAGATAAATCACAATTGTTGTATTAAATATCAGAATTTGTTTACGAGAATTTGGTCTCAATTGTTCTGAAGAACGCAAGATTGGTTTCGATGAAAAAGGTCCTTTGCCTTATTTAATCCTTCCAGAATACACACCGTACCATCTTCCCATTACAGCATCAAGCTATTTTATAACTGAGTCCTGGAACCTTATTCCAGTCATTAACTACCCCATGTGTAAAGAAAGCTTCCTGGTGTCTCTCCGGAAATTACACTTGCAACTCTAAAACCGAGGTCCTCTTATTCTACTGTCTTAGTGCATCCAAAAGTTTACTTTATGAATCCCATTTAAAATTTGATATACCTCCATAAGGTCACACCTCCTTTCAAAACTGAAGAGCCCTAGCTTGTCTGGTAGTAATTGTGAATATGTAATAACTTAAGGAGGAAACCTGTATCAATTACAAGCATTTTTCCAAATGCTTGGCTTAATATTCATTGATAAAGTATCAAACTACATTCCCAAATACATATTACAAAAGCAGAACTTGTCAACAAAAAGTTTTTTTGTTTTAAATATGTCACTAGCACCACATTTGTAGAAACGCAATTCCATAGATATTTATCTGTAAGTAGAATACCTCATAGCTTTCAAGTTGTTATAGCTCTTAAAACTATTGCTAATATTACTTTACATAGTGTGCATTTTCAAGGAATAGGCCAAGGGTTGCCTTCAGCCAAACTTCTCTTGCGCTTTTGTGTTCTGTGGTCAACTCTTCCAGGAAATGCAATTTATTAGGTTCTTGCCAGTACTGAATTACATAATAAAACGTACTTTTTCTGGATATTGGTGAGGTCCATAAACATTGCTACTTCTTGCAATAACAACAGGGAACTACACAAAATAAGAAAAGGTACAATATAACAAACACATGTAGAATGAAATATCTTATGTACAGAATAATTCAACAAAAACAATGATAAATTGCATTTATATTGCATCTTTCAAGTCAGGAGGATGTCCCAAGCTGCTGGACAGTTGAGAGTTTGCACCCACACTTCGAAGTTGGATTCAGGGGGATGGAGGTGAAGGGGTTAGGAGGTGGGAAAATGACCAAAGGCTTCGTCAAAGAGGAAGGTCTTCTGTCAGACCTTGAAGGAGGCGAGGGAAGGGGTGAGGTGAAAAGACTCCAGGATGCTGTTCCAGAGAGTGAAGGCTGAAGGGCCGACCGCCAATGGTGGGGCGGACAGAGTGGGGTTGGTGAAGCAGACAAGTGCCTGCTGAGCGGAGGGAGTAGGCTGGTTGAAGGTCACAGAGATTGGGTGGAGCAAGACTGTGGAGGGATTTAAAAGTGAGGACCTTGAACTCAATCTTCTGGGAATGGGGAGCCAGTGGAACTGGGCAAGGACGGGGGTAATAGGCTAGCAGAGTCTGGAGTGGAAAAGGACACAACCGGCAGAATCCTGAAAAAGAAGCAAGCAGAGAATTGGCATTGTCAAGCCTGCATAATTTTCATAACTACCCTGTTTTTACTTTTATTCAGAATTTTCCAAACCTAATATGTTCATTTTAAAGCATTGCAATTGCGGTATGATGTTTTCAACATGTAATTGTTTCTCAAATTCAACAAGGTGTCAACATTACTGAAATTGGTACTCGACACTAGACAGTAGTGATTATTCCTGGTTAAAACAGCCTCAAAATACATTGTTTTTCAAATCTCCATTGAAAACTTAGGTGCCAAAATTTAACTCTCTTCTTGATTTTCAATGAGGAATAATCTACTGTCAAACAAGAAAGAAATAATTCATGTTAAAAAGATTTAAAAAGGAAAACAAGGCTTCTACAAAAATACATAACTGTTTTATTACAAAAACGTATCAACAACATTTCAATAATAATTGAACAATAAAATAACATTTTGGAACAATAAAATAAACAGCAAACGTACCCTGTAGCTTTCCCAGTAGGACATAACTATACATTCAGATGCAGCTTTCGATACTGCATATGGGTTGGTGGGTCGTTTTGGTGATGCTTCATTAAATTCCTAGATTAAAGTGACAGTTTTGTTTATAAAGAAAAAATGTACAGAGAGTTCAGATGTTGGATTCATGTAATACTGTGACAATCTACTTAAAGTAGCTCATTATTTTCAATTACATATCCCTAAAATGTATTTTTGGTCAATTGAACTATATGTAACTTAATTCTTAAATACTGCACCATTGTATGTATAGCAATTCCTTTCAGTGCAAATTAATGCTAATTGTAGACGGTTCAGAATTGTGGGTGCTTTCCTACCAGGGATGTGGTTCAAATTAACCACCAATATATTATGGCCCTAAGAACAGAGCATTATTTTATCAGTCTGAAATGATCTGGAACCTATGTATCAGCAATGAAAACATTTACGAACCACTTCCAGTCCCAGAGAAAGTTCCATTCAGTATCCAGTAGATACTTATCTTCAAATGGTAGTGTTATACAGCAATAAGTTATAATCCTTACACTTGGTATAGCACCTTTCATGTTGGGAGTACGTTCCAAAGTGTTTCACAGAATATAACTGTAAAATGCAGCGACTGTTTTTATTGGCAAACACAGCAGCAAATTTTGTGCACAGGAATGTTCCTTAAACAACTATAAAGGGAATGATCAATTTTTAATTAGGGAATTATTGGCCAGCACAACATGAGAAACTTTTCTCTTTTCGAATAGTGCCAGGGGATCTTTAATGACCACCTTAACATGGCAGATAGCACCTTGATTTAACACCTCATCCAAAGAACTGCACCTCTTTTGATGTAGTACACGCCCAGCACTGCACTGGAATGTCAAATTAGACCATATGAGTATCAAGGCACGACATAGGGCTTGAAGCCACAACCTTCAGAGGCAAGAACTGAGCCAGGCCGATATGTGCCAAAGGTACAGAGATTACATTCAGTAATTAAAGTTTCTGTAAAGATTGTAAGTCTATGGATAAAATATTTGATGATTTCACCATATGGCAACTTTTACAACATTGCAAGCTTTCGAATGACTAGGATTTGTGTTTGCGTGCCTTTCATCTTGACCATTTACTGTTATTAAAGAAGCAATGGGATTATTCAACAGGTTACTGCACTAAATTAGATGTTACTTACTTCATTAATACTTCCTCCATAGACTTCATCAGTGCTAACATGAATGAATTTCTCAACATTAACTTCATAAGCAGTGTTCACCAGGATATGCGTACCACCCACATTCACATTTGTAAATTCTTCAGAACGCCAAAAGGACTGATCTGACAGAAACAAAAAGTAGTAGTTACAGCATTTATTGAGCTAATTAATAGCTTAATTGTGCAACTGGTTCAAGTATTTTTTCAATACAGTAAAACTCCTGATATATCATCACTTCCAGGGAAAAGAGTTCAGTGACTCTAATAACTACGTAAGCATGAGAACGCTTTGGCCAGAGGACCTACACCAACACACACTGCGGCTATGAAGAGCGAGCAGCTGTCAGTGTGACAGAGCGGCCCAGGCCCGCACATTTTATATGTTAAAACTCATTTAAGTTCCAGTAAAGTATAAGTTTATGTATGGCATATGTGTCTATAAAAAAAACTTGTTTGTTCATTTTGCTCATTTTAACAACCTGAATCACTCAAACTTTAACAATCAGGCTGAATCTCACAGAAGGCAAGGTCTAAAATTTCTTGCCACAACAGTCAAAACAGCGTATTGCACGTTTGGCTGAGGGAGACTTTCTCCTGAGAGTACCAGGCTGCTCATCACAAGAATTTGCAGAGAATTTGAAGGGGTGTGGGTGGTTGAGCGGTGCAGGTAAGTTTGTTCCGATTATATATCCGACGTTTTACTTATTGGGATGCACAGAATGCAACTTACAAGTGAGTAATGAAGGTGGGGCGAGGGGTGTCCTTCCACATTCTGCATTGCAAACCAGAATATTAACAGCATGGTGATATAAGCCATGTGATGATATACACCAGTATACACCAGGGGCTTATTAGTAGTTCACTGTATTTTGAAGTTTCAGTACGGCATCCAAAATATGTAGGGTTGGTGGAAATCAATTTTATTTTGACTAATTTTTGTCAGATAGATTTTTTAAAGATTTTTATTGGTGTTTTCAGATACATTTTTTATACAGATTATATAATGAAGGCATAAGCAACAGCGGAACTACAATTGATGAAATTATAGTCAATTGCATAAGTGGTAATAGAAGAATAATTTATTACATAGGTTTCCAGAACTTTGAGGATAATCCAGACTTTTGAAATAAATATATACATATGTATATATATGTTATTTATGTTTGCTTTGCTAATTCTGAGGTCTATTCTAAAACATTGAAAAACAGTATTTAAATAAAATTACATATGACATTTCAAAACTATTAGCAAACAAAGTACTCCCAATAAATATGTTCTTGCTAAACACAATTAAAGAAAATACAGGCACACTTGTAATAAAAAATTCTTACCTACATGGGTCTGAGCTGCAAAATGCAAAACTACGTCAATTTTTTCAGTTCCAAATAACAGCTTCACAAAATATTTATCACAAATATCACCCTGTGAAGAAAAAAAACATCACTACAATTTTCATGGTTAACATTATACATAGACAGAATTGATGTTAGATTTCAAGAGGGAACTAGAATGATATCTAAAAATAAATAATTGCGGTGATTTGGGGAAAAAGCAGGTAATGTGATTAAATGGATTGTTGTTTCAAATAGTACAGATGCACTGAATAATCTCTTTGCTGTAAATTTCTATGGCTGTACTTAAAAACACCACTCTTTGGTTTGTTATTAAAAAAGAGTTATGGCAAATGAGTGGCAGAGACATAATTTGGCACTCTTTTGCAGTAGTCCTTTTTCCATCTTAAAGTTAACCAGAAAAAAGAAAATCCATAAAATATTTTTTCAAAAATGCTTTTTTAATGCTTGTTCAGAGATTGAGTCATAAGTTCTTGACTGATTGGAAAGTTACTAGCGCAAAAATGAAAGGCAGCTTGTTTTTAAAAAATACATATGAATCACCATTTGTAATATTCTTACTTTTACTAATTAACAAATTAATTCCTAAAATGTTTTTTCATCTACATGCCATAGTCTGATTTACTTGTAATATACTCCCTAATTCTTCAGAGAATGCAAATCAATGATGCATAACTCATACTCAATACAGATGTGTCAAATAGAGACACAAACCACCATCATAAGATAGGCAAAGCTACTGCCAGGTCCTTATTACAAGTTACCTCAATGCAACTGATAGAGGTAGAAGAGACGGGCTAAATCAAGTTTGCTCGCTCCACTCAGCGGACTCCGGCCTGCTTCACATCCCCCGCCTTGATTGCCCCAATATTGGCTGGCAGGTGGGCCTTCTGTCACTCTGCCCCCACCCTCTGGAACTTCATCCTGCAGTCCCTCCGCCTCGCCTCTTCCCTCGCCACCTTCAAATCCCATCTCAAGACCCTCCTCTTCGATCTTGCTTCCAATCTCCCTGCTCCCCCCTGCCCTCCACCCTTCCCGACCCCAGGTCTGTAACTCTGTCTGCCAGTGCCTTGGGACGTCCTCCCGACGTGAAAGGCGCTTTAAAAATGTAATTTTGTTGTCATTGTTGTTCTTGATCTCACCGTACAAATGCTTTAGTTAATACTTATTAGTAAAGTGTTTTTCAACGTCAACACTGTAGCTATTCCTTGAAAGTTATGTTTAGTAACAATCCCATTACCTGTATAAATTTGTAGTTGCTTCTTCCAGAAACTGACTGCAAGTTCTTTAAACTTGAACAATAATCAAGCTGCAGGCGAAAAAGAAGAAAAACTATGATCATAAACAACAACGGCAAACTTGAAATTTTATAGTCCCTTTCACCTATACTATAGGATAGCATCTTGGTGCACTTAAATAATAAAACATTCATTTACAACATTACATGTGAACGCATCAGACATTTAACTATAAATAACAATGGTTGGACAGACTCACCTTGTCCACATTTATGATTAAATAGTCTGGATATCTTTCCAGAAGGCAAATGATCACATGAGAGGCACTTCAAGAAAGAAAACAGTTTTGGATTATTTGATGTGCAACATATATAATCTTTGTTGCTTTCAACGTACATTATAAATTTTATGTAATATATCTATCTGGCAATGCTACTATTTTTATGTCTTAACAGGTCACATATTTAGTTTATTTAAATCCCACAAAACAGCAAAAAAGTGCAACTGATGAAGGAAAATCAACTAAGATTCAGCTTTTGAACCTGGCCTCAAGAACAAAATGCAATCAGTTCCTTAAATGACGTCTTGGTCATTGTTTTCTACTGATGGCTGATTTCGTACATTTGATTTTTGTGCATTTTGGGATCAGTATTCAAAACGTTGGGCGATCAGTTGTAGAGGAACTTTCTTTTCTTATTAAAAATACAATAAAAGATGAAGTATTTCTGTTGATATATATATCTATATCTTTATCCGTTATTTTTTACAGTAGTAGTTAACACTCCCACACGTCTGATCTGTAATAAATTGTATAATCGCCTAATTGCCCAAGTCCCGTTCAAGAATTTATATTCAATGCAACTTTGATATAACTCATATTTGCACAAGTAATATTAAATATATGGTCCCAACTGATTGGACTCATGTGAGGTTTACTGTATCTTCATTATCCGGATGAGAGTTTAGTTGCCAGTTGTCAGCCCTTATGATCCGCACAGCTTGTGGAGCTCCCTTTACAGCAGTTTTGCTGAGCTGCCTGCCTGTGCTGCCTGCCTGTCCTGCCTGTGCTGCCTGCCTGTGCTGCCTGCCTGCCTGCCTGTGCTGCCTGCCTGCGCTGCCTGTGCTACCTGCCCTGCCTGTGCTGCCTGCCCTGCCTGTGCTGCCTGCCTGTCCTGTCCTGCCCTGCCTGCGCTGCCTGTGCTACCTGCCTGCCCTGCCTGTGCTACCTGCCCTGCCTGTGCTGCCCTGCCTGCCTGCCTGTGCTGCCTGCCTGTCCTGCCTGTGCTGCCTGCCTGTGCTGCCTGCCTGCCTGTGCTGCCTGCCTGCGCTGCCTGTGCTACCTGCCCTGCCTGTGCTGCCTGCCCTGCCTGTGCTGCCCTGCCTGTCCTGTCCTGCCTGCGCTGCCTGTGCTACCTGCCTGCCCTGCCTGTGCTACCTGCCCTGCCTGTGCTGCCCTGCCTGCCTGCCTGTGCTGCCCTGCCTGCCTGCCCTGCCTGTGCTGCCTGCCCTGCCCTGCCTGTGCTGCCTGCCTGTCCTGCCCTGCCTGTGCTGCCTGCCTGCCCTGCCTGTCCTGCCCTGCCTGTGCTGTGCTGCCCTGCCTGCCCTGCCTGTGCTGCCTGCCTGTCCTGCCCTGCCTGTCCTGCCCTGCCTGTGCTGCCTGCCTGTCCTGCCTGTCCTGCCCTGCCTGTGCTGCCTGCCTGTCCTGCCCTGCCTGCCCTGCCCTGCCTGTGCTGCCTGCCTGCCCTGCCTGTGCTGCCTGCCCTGCCCTGCCTGTGCTGCCTGACAGCGAGTGTGGCTGCCAGTTGAGGTCATTAACATATCCCGCTGTGCGGCAGGGGGAAGGGCAGGTCAGGGTCCCTGAGGCAGCGCACGTTATTTCCCCCTATTTTGGACGAACAGAGGGACAGAGACCCTCCGTTTCCTGCCCTTCACATCTGCTGCTGTGCTACTCACACGAAGCCCGCGCCCCCGGTCACCAGGAGGCCCTTAGCGAACCTGCGCCGCGCTCCTCCCTCCGCCCCCGACATCTTCACCGCCTACTTTACGGCTGTCGCGAAACTGCTGTCGCGGGGCCGCGGCGTTGTTGATCCTCTCACACTCACTCACTCACTCACACACACACACCCGCCCCCCAGTGAGGAGAGGGCAAAGCCTTCGTAGATTACAAAGACAAACAGTAATCCTGATCTCTCGGCTCCCGCGGGCCGGGCCGGGGCGGCTCACTGCGCCTCTCGCTGCCCTCGGCTTTGCGACAGTCGGCGCCGCGGCCTCGCCGAGCGCAAGTTGACACGTTGTAACCGACCAGCGACAAGGCGACAACCCAACCTGCTGATGCTCCAACCCCGCCCCTCTCACGGCCATTGGTTGGTATTTGGATGGGCGGGTCTGTTCCTGTCAGATAGCGAACGGTGAATGGTGAGTTTGGATGTCAATCTCCCATGTGGCCCACCCTCCCCAGTCAGGTTAGAGTGAGGCGCCAGACACTGACAGTTGCTTCTGGTGAATGAATGGTTGAGTGACACACACACACACACATAGACACACACACAGACATAGTGACACACACACACACAGAGACACACACATACACATAGTGACACACAGACACACACACAGACATAGTGACACAGACACATAGACACACACACAGACATAGTGACACACACACATAGTGACACACACATAGAGACACACACATACACATCGTGACACACAGACACACACACAGACATAGTGACACACACACATAGTGACACACACATAGTGACACACACACAGAGACACACATACACATCGTGACACACAGACACACACACAGACATAGTGACACACACACACATAGTGACACACACATAGTGACACACAGAGACAGACACACACATAGTGACACACACACAGAGACACACACACACACACATAGTGACACACACACACATAGTGACACAGACGCACACACAGAGACATACACACAGTGACACACGCACAGTGACACATACACACTCAGTGACACACACAGAGACACATATACAGTGACACACACAGAGATACACATACAGTGACGCACACACACAGATACACACACAGCCATACACACAGTGTGACACACACACATACACAAAAGTGACACACAGACACACAGTGTGACACACAGACACACTGACAGACGTACACAGAGTGTGTGACACACACACAAGAGTGACACACAGACACAGAGTGTGGCACGCACAGTGTCACACACAGACATACACAGAGACATAAACAGTGTGTGACATACACAGACACACGCATACCCACACACAGTGTGACACACATAGAGCATGACACAGAGTGTGTGACACAGAAACACAGAAAGAAGGAGTATGTGACACACACAGGCACATAGATTGTGTGCAGACATAGAGTGAGTGTGAGACAGACACATAGACAAGAAGGTAGGATCTTGTATTAACAGGTTAAATGATGGCGCTTTTATTCCTTCTCGCCATTTTTGCTGAACTACTGCTGCTGACATGTGATGGGAAGACAGTGGATGGACTTTTCAGTAGTGATATTGCAAGACAGAATGGCGGGCAGCATATTGTTAAATTTCTGTTTCACGGTGAGTATTATAACCGCACTTTCAGGGAACTCTTTGCTCACCTCACACATCTATTTGAGTGTTCAGTCAGTACAACCTACTGCTTTTCATTTCATACCACACAGCTTTGCAGAAGTTCTTGTTTGGAACATTCCAATTAAACCAAATGTGTTCTTTGAAGAAATAATAATTATTGTACTTGATACAGTATCTATAGGGTCTGTGCTTCCCAGCTAATTTAATTAACTAGTCACTGCATTTGTAGGCAAATATGTCTGCCAATTTCCACACAAGGTCCCAAAAGAGCTCTCACAAATTTATGTGGAGGATTGTTCGAGATACACATTAATGGTTGTAGGCCTGTGGTACATTTTGATATCAAAGGTTACTTGGCATGTGGATGTGGCAATAATCTAATGATCTATACTTCACAAATAGATGATTTATGTATCTGTTTGTCACAGTTTATTGAACTTTTATCGCCGGATCGCAAGATGTGGGTTCAAACCTCACACTGGAACTTGAGGTCTTATTTTGGTCACCTGGGTGTCTGACACGTGCAGAAAATAATCACCATGCCTGAGAGTATACAAACCAGACTTGAGAGTTTCATATATGTATATTCCACTTACATATGGAAATGTTCTGTGTCTGGAATGTAATATGTGCTCTCTCCCTGGAGAGATGCACCCGCTTTATCTAATTCTGAACAGAATTAAGCCGTGGTTAACAAGAGTGGAGGCTTCGGGCCCCAGAGTGTATATTAAAGTGCTACTTTAAGTTAACTACATATTATACCATTGAAAGCGTTGTCTGGGAAACTTCATGCTGTTTGTCCAGCTAGGACCAATCTACCTATTTGGGATTTGATTGGCACAGTTAACAGGGGCTGTGTGAGAAGAATCCGTACCCCTTCAAGTCCTGCTGACAGTCTGTCATCAGAAGTGCCTTGGAGAATTGCAGATCTACCTGGCTCAAGAACCAGCTTTGAGGACCGAACAGAGAATTGATTTGATTCTAACATTCTGTTGTCCAGCAAGTCTCTTTGAAACCAGTGCAGCTTCAAAAAGCCCTGCATGTATCTACCCCACCACCTCCCCCACACACACATGCCCAGGAGGACAGTCACCAGTTGGTCTTTTGACATCCTGATGAACACTTGGTAGATAGCAGGTTCCCAGAAACTTCCTGCGAGTTTCTTGGTGAATGGCATAGTTCAGCATTAAATATGTGAGAGCAAGGCTAACCACGCTCTTAATAATAATAATCCTTGCTTTTGATATAGCGCCTTATCACGTCTTCGAGACATCTCAAAGCGCTTCACAGAGTATACTGTAAAGTGAATTGACTGTATATTGTGTGGGTGAAATAGAGCAGCCAATTGCACACAGCAGTGTCCCACAAACAGTTGTGGATTGAAGTGACCAATTTATTATTTTTTTTGAAGGAATTATTACCCCCGGAAAAGCGATCCAACAATCGACTAATAACCAGGTTCCTATTTACTGCTAGGAAAACAGAGGCATGTGGAGTAAGGAAACTTGCCCAACATTTCGCCTTGCTGGGAATTGAACGCAGGTCTCTTGTTTGCGAGGCGAGTGCTCTAACCACGGATCGACTCCACTTACTCTTACACGCATCGCTTAATCAAGGCAGACACTCTAGAGTATTATTAGAGGATTGTTGGATGTGCTGTTCTTCAGATGGAATTGCGCATTTCGACCATTGATTGTAGAGGACGGTAGTTGAATTCACAAATTATTTTAAAATCAAATAGATGTATGCTTGAAAAAGGAATACTAAAGATGAAGAAGTGAGCAGGAAGTAGGATTTGATGGCTCTTGTGGAGAAAAACATCCAGAACGCCTTGATAGGATGAATCACCTTGTAATGTGCAACGTTCTATGAAACTATACAAACAGAAAATGGAATTTTGCCTTGTGTCCTGGTCAGTAATCCTTTAGATTGTTTTGTCATTCACCTCATGGCTTTTTGTGGATCTTGCTGGCACATTTGGCTGCTATATTTGCCTATACATACATACAGTAATTAACACTTGACATTAATTGACAGTAAATGAAGTGCTTCAGAACATCTTAGCATAAGACGCTATAAAAAAGGAAGTATTCTTTTTGTTTATCCACTTCACCCAGAATATGCAAGGGTGACAAAGCAAGAATAAAAAATACAAATGTATCTGTTGCCATAAATGTATCTGCAGAATCTTCTTTTTCAGGGCTGGAGAAGAATTTGAGGCAGGAGGGGGAGCATCCAATTATGGTAATCCACATAGGTACCAACGATATAGGTAGGACTAGTAGGGACGACTTGAGGAGTGAGTTCAAGGAATTGGGAATTAAGTTAAAAAGTAGAACTTCCAAGGTAATAATATCGAGATTGCTGCATGAGCCATGTGCAAATTGGTACAGGCACAAACAAATTAAAGAATTAAATGCTTGGCTGAAAGAGTGGTGCGGAGGGCAAGGGTTTCAGTTTCTGGGCCACTGGCACCAGTATTGGGGGAAAAGGGAGCTATTCCATAGAGATGGGCTCCACCTAAACCGGCTGGGACCAATGTCCTGGCAAAACGAATAAATAGGATGGTAGGCCCATGAAGGTGGTAGAGCAGATTAGCGAGGGAGATAAACAGAGTGTGTCAAGGAGGGACAAGAAGCTCACCAAAGAAAATAGGGCATTAGCGAGCAGGGGAAATAGCAAGAAGTCAAAATTAAAGGCGTTATATCTGAATGCACAAAGCATTCGTGATAAGGTAGACAAATTAATGGCACAAATAGAAATAAACGGATATAATCTAGTAGCCATTACTGAGACATGGTTACAGGGAAATCAAGGGTGGGAGCTAAATATTCCGGGGTATTCGGCATATAGGAAAGATAGGCAATGTGGAAAACGAGGTGGGGGGTTAGCCCAGCTAATAAAGGATGGGATAAAAACAGTAGAGAGGAAGGGTTTTAAATCAGAAAATCAGGATGTAGAGTCAGTATGGGTGGAATTACGAAATAACAAGGGGCAGAAAAGACTGGGGGGAGTAGTTTATAGACCCCTGAACAGCAGTCACAGTATTGCGCAGAGTATTAACCAGGAAATTAGTGGAGCATGTACCAATTTGCACATGGCTCCTCTAGGGCAGAGTGACCATAACATGATGGAATTTAGCATTAAGTTAGAGAGTGATTTGTTAAGTCTGAGGCAAGGATCTTAAATTTAAATAGAGTCAACTTTGCAGATATGAGAGAGGATGTAGCTAAAATAGACTGGGGAATTAGATTAAAGGATATGACAGTAGACCAGCAATGGCAAACCTTTAAAGATATAGTACATAATTCCCAGTCATCACATATTCCCTTGAGGAATAAAAATACCACAGGAAAAGTGGTTTAACCATGGATGACTAGAGCAGTTAGGGAAAGTATAAAATTAAAAGAAGAGACCTATATAATACTGCCAAAAAGAGGATTGGGAGGGCTTCAGAGACCAACTAAGAAACTGATTAGGAAGGAGAAAATGGATTATGAGGGCAAACTAGCTAGGAACAGACTGCAAGAGTTTTTACAAATACATAAAGAGGAAGCAACTATCAAAAGTTAATGTGGGTCCATTACAGGCAGAGACAGGAGGAATTATTATAATAATATAATAATAATAATCCTTGCATTTGATATAGCGCTTTTCACGTCTTCTAGACGTCTCAAAGCACTTCACAGAATAGACTGTAAAGTGAATTGACGATATATTTGTGGGCGAAATGTGGCAGCCAATTGCGCACAGCAGTGTCCCACAAACAGTCGTGGATTGAAATGACCAATTTATTAGTGTTTTTTTTTCTTGAGGGATTATCATCAGGCATGTGGAGTAAGGAAACTTGCCCAAGGTTTCACCCTACCGGGGATCGAACCCAGGTCTCTCGCTTGCAAAGCAAGTACTCTAACTACTGAGCTACAGGACTCCATGGGAATAAAGATATGGCCGAGTCATTAAACAAATACTTTGCTTCTGTCTTCACGTTAGAAGACACTGAAAACTTACCAAAAATAGAGGGAAACCAAGAAGCTAATGTTAGTGAGCAACTTAGGGAAGTTAACATCAGTAAAGTATTAGTACTAGGGACACTGTTGGGATTGAAAAATGACAAATCCCCTGGACCTGATGGTCTGCATCCTAGGGTTTTAAAAGAGGTGTCTGCTGAGATAGTGAATGCCTTGTTTTTGATCTTCCAAAATTCTCTGGATTCTGGAACGGTTCCCATTGATTGGAAAATCACAAACGTAATACCACTACTTAAGAAGGGTGGGAGAGAGAGGATGGGGAACTATAGACCAGTCCGTCTGGCATCAGTAGTAGGGAAAATTGTAGAATCCTTAATTAGGGACATTGTAGTGGGATACTTAGAAGACCATAACATAATTAGGCAGAGTCAACGTGGCTTTGCAAAAGGGAAGTCATGTTTAACAAATCTTTTAGAGTTCTTTGAGGATATAACTAGCAGGTTAGATAGGGGGGAACCAGTAGATGTAGTTATTTAGATTTTCAGAAGGCATTTGACAAGGTGCCACATAAAAGGCTGCTACACAAGATTAGGGCCCATGGAATTAAAGGCAATATATTAGCATGGATCGAAGAGTGGCTAACGGGAAGAAAACAGAGAGTAGGGATAAACGGGTCCTTCTCAGATTGGCGGGATGTGACTAGTGGAGTGCCACAAGGGTCAGTGTTTGGGCCTCAGCTATTTACAATCTACATCAATTATCTAGACAAAGACATGGAACTTAAAATATCTAAATTCACGGATGATACTAATAAGCTAGGTGGGTGTCCTTGTACACCAGTCACAAAAAGTTAGTATGCAGGTACAGCAAGCAACTAGGAAGGCTAAATGGCATGTTGGCATTTATTACAAAAGGGTTAGAATGCAAGAGTAGGGAAGTCTTGCTGCACCTGTATAGGGCATTGGTGAGATCGCACCTAGAGTATTGCGTGCAGACATATTTGCCTTAGAGGGGATGCAGTGTAGATTCATTAGGTTAGTTCCTGGGATGAGGGGGTTGACCTATGAGGATAGGTTGAGTAGACTAGGCCTATATTCTCTAGAATATAGAAGAATTAGGGGTGATCTTATAGAAACATATAAGATTCTTATGGAGTTTGACAGAGTAGACAATGTGAGCCTGTTTCCCCTGGTAGGAGAATCTATATAGGGGTCACAGTCTTAAGATTAAGGGTCAGCCTTTTCGAACAGAGTTGAGGAAACACTTCTTCACGCAGAGGGTAGTGAATTTATCGAATTCTCTACCCCAGAAGGCTGTAGATACTCAGTCCTTGAACATATTCAAGACTGAGATTGATAGATTTTTAAAGCATAGAGGGATTAAGGATTATGGAGATAAGGCGGGCAGATGGAGTTAGGTTAGAAGATCAGCCATGATCTCATTGAATGGCAGGATAGGCTCGAGGGGCCAAATGGCCTACTCCTGCTCTTAATTCCTATGTTTTGCAAAATCAGTATGCGGTATTGTTTTGAGATTGCACAATTTCAGGGTTAGTTTCAATTTGATTCAAGAAAATACATCTTGCCAACACAGAATATCAACATCACAAGTTTCACAATAAATGCCCTCGGATCACTTTCCAGGGATATTAATAACTTCAATTTAAAAAAAAATGTTCACTCAATCCACAACTGTTTGTGGGACACTGTTGTGCGCAATTGGCTGCCATGTTTGCCCACAAAATATACTAAATTCACTTGAGTCCTGTAGCTCAGTGGTTAGAGCACTTGCTTTGCAAGCGAGAGACCTGAGTTCAATTCCAGGCAGGGCGAAACCTTGGGCAAGTTTCCTTACTCCACACACAGCCTAATAATAATCCCTCCAAAACAAAAGAACAATAATAAATTGGTCATTTTCAATCTACGACTGTTGTGGGACATTGTTGTGCGCAATTGGCTGCCGCGTTCGCCCACAAATATACAGTCAGTTCACTTTACAGTGTGTTCTGTGAAGCGCTTTGGGACGTCCTCCCGACGTGAAAAGCGCTATATCAAATGCAAGAATTATTATTATTATTATTTACAGTATATCTGTGAAGTGCTTGGAGATATCTCATGTGATAAGGCTGCAATTGACTAGCAACTAGGTTCCTGCTTACTGCTAGGTCAACAAAGGAATGTGCAGTAAAGAAACTTGCCTAACGTTTCGCCCTGCCCGGGAATCGAACCCAGGTCCTCTCGTTTGCGAGGCAAGTGCTCTAACCAATATGCTACAGGATTCCAGCATCATCATTCAACTTGATATAAATGATGGTATAATATTATGAAAAATCCAATTAAAACGCACAAAGTAAGAGTCAAATGAAGAAGAAAAAGGATTAAATTATGGAATAATGTTCCAATATCCTCATCAAAGCTTGAACTCAGAAGATAGCTTTAGTTTAAAGTTAATACATAAGAGAAAAGAGAATCTCTACCTCTACCTTTCATACTCTTAAGGATTCTCGTAATCCCTTCCCAATTTTGTGATAGTCCCATCTTCCAAGTACAGTATTATAAAATGCCAGCCGCTCAAGAGAACTGCAATCACCTAGTGGGAGTACATTGATGGGCCCCTTTATAGTGATGCCAGCGTTGTAAGCCTCTTTGCCAGAGTTAATACTAACAGAATCATTCTGTGTGAACACTATGGAGCATTAATTTCTGACAGTATTCCAAACAAGCTCATTTTAGGGTCATTATCAATAGCTGTCCTATTTGCTTTGCTTATCATATTCACCACTGGCTCCCAAAAGTGAGATATATATTACATTGGAAAGAACCATTCTAATTTTTACAGTGTTCAATCATTTAAATCTCCAGTTATCCTTTTCTTTTTTTCTTAAATGGCATCTGAAGCTCACCATATTCTCTAATTTGATTACCTTTTCCTCTGGAAACATTATTCAATGAGTCATTTTTCAAATCTATTTTTCAAGTGGTTGAAGTATATTCTCCATTAATAAACGCTGCTCAACTGGATTCAATGACCTCTGGCATGTTGCTATGATATTCAAGAATTTGTATATATTGTTACATTAGTAATAAATCCCTTTTGATCTCATACAAACAAAAATAGATTTTTCTCTCTAGATTTACAATCTGTGTTGATCAGGAAGATAACTTTATCAGCCAGAGAAAAATGAATCCTGATCTGATAAAATAATTGATTGATTTATTCACTCAAAAAATGTTAGATTTTGAGTTTAAAAATTAAAGTTTCTGTATATTACCTCATTATTGAAAAACTGCATTTAATAGTCGTTGGGACAGAGATTAACACTGACAGAAAGGTGACCAAAATATTAATCTGAAATGATCCTTGCATTTGATACAGCCCCTTTCATGTTAGGAGGACATCTCAAAATGTTTCACATGATATTCTGTTACTTGTAGTGATTCTGTATTTTGTAGGTGAACGTGGCAGACAATTTGTACAACAAAATCTCCCACAAGTAGCCTTGAAGCAAATGACCAATTTTATTTGGGATATTGGTGACCAGAACATCGGGAGAATCTTGTTTCGCTTTTCAAATAGCATCATGGTATCGTTAATGTCCACTTGAACAGGCAGGTGGGACCTCGGTTTAACATTTTGTCTGAAGGACCAAACATGCCTCTTTGCATCCTGCTCAGTGTTTGAAAGAAATTAGAGAGACAGATCTATTTATTCTTAACATAGAACCACCTGGAATAAGTATTAAGGCATTTGATATTTAGATTTTCAATTTCGCCAACCTCAAATCAGACCCATTTTCCAGGATATATTTTAGACCACTTTGATAAATTTTACATGAATAACTCAATTTTTCAGGACACTTTATTTTTGTCAGTATGGTATGTTGATGTGCTTATTTTTATCCTGAGCCTTATTTACAAATATATATTTAATCTTCAGGTAGCAATGCTTTACTAAGTTGTCGAATAGACGGTGGAACAATGGCTGCTGACAAAGATTCCAAACTTTACCTCTTTCGTGAGCGGGAGTGGTTACAGGTACAGGAGGAAACTGTACACTGTTCACAGAAGCTGGCTGAAGCTCAATTAATTGGTAAGTGATCCCTTTCATCATATATATTAGAAATAATGACCATAGACTGAACAGCATGGAAACAGTTCATGCAGTCAAACTGGTCCATGAAGCCCACTCCCCATGATCCTCTACTTTTCTGTCACCCATATTCTCTAATCCATTTTTTTCAGGCATGCATTGAGTTTCCTCTTAAATACATTAATGCTTTCTCCTTTGAACACAGCTTTCAGCATCAATTTCCACATTCTCACCTTCGTTTGTGTAAATATATTCCTCCTAAACTCTCTTTCGGATCTGCTACTGGATATCTTGTGTTTATATCCTTTATTTTGGATTCTCCAACACCTTATCAAATCTTTTCAGCATTTTAACTCCCTCCCTAAATCCCTACCAGCTTTCTGTTTGTCTTAAAAATATCCATGTGCTTGATTACGCAAGAATTTATCTTTTGAAAGTGCTGTGGGCTGTTATCGCTTAGCTGCATTTTCATATAGCTCTTCAATTTTCCATCTATTCCAAATATTAAACTTGGGATAATAGGTCTGCATTTGCCATCTTCCACCCTTCTTGAATTTGGGAACATTTGCTTATTTCCAATCAGAAATAATCTCACCAGTGTCTCTGACCCTCTCAAAATGTCTATCGGTGATTCACAAACCTCCACCTTTGTATCCTAGGGTATAGCTCATCTGACGTTAGGGAATGTGACTTATTGAACCTATCTAGAAATTCTGCCTAGCTAATGGGGAAATCCTGGCGCTCACATGACATGCGTAGGATGTTGAAGAGCATATTACTTGTGTCCTCCAATAAATGATATAATATATTTACAAATACACATGAGGAAACCCAGCATTGGCTGGCTCGATTCCGACATTCTGTTGTCAGGTATGTCACCTTGGTGCCAGTTCAGCTCAAGGAGACCCCGCTTATCTCTCCCATGGAGGATATTCACTAGTTCGTCATTCGACATGGCCAAGCACGGGTTTGAGCCTTCAATAGGTAGGGACCAGGAACTCTTTGCAAGCTTCCCGATGGGCAACACATTTCAGCATGAAATGCATGAGAGCATTGCCACCCTGCCCGCAGCTCGGGCACAAATCCCTTCCCATTGAGCGATGGTTCCACCAGATGTAGATGCAGAGTTTAAGCAGCAGTTGCTTGCCTCTCTGTAGACCAATCAAGGTGGATTCCAACCCCTGGACTTTCGAACCTGTGTCATGAACTCAGACTCAAGGTAACCGTTTCCAGCAGCTTTCGGCCCAAGCCCCAGCATTTTCCCATCAGCTATCTGGCAGACATCTGCCTTCAGTGTGGTGGGAGGACCTTTACAGGGCAGCTGGTGAAATGTCAGCCACCTTGATGTTCTTGGTCCAAGTCCAGTGCCGCTGCTTAATCCAAGTCCACATGTGAGGGACCTTGGCAAATAGATGTGCCTGCTGTGAAGCCACCCCGCCTCCAGAGTGCTTAGTGACAGGTGAGTGTAGGCCAGAGCCCTCCCTCCCTGTAGCCACTTCCCATGTTTTCCACCTCATTGCTTGATCCTGGACTTTGCAAATGATTTGGAGGAAGTTTCTCTGCTGCATCCCTAGGAGCTCAGATCCATAAAGGAATCATATTCGCACACAGGTCTTGTATGCCACAAGCTTGATCTGCATTGGGACCTTGCTGTCCTTGAAGAGGAATGAGCATGTCCAGAGTGCCCTTCGCCCCTTCTCAGCGCTGTCCTTCAGGACAGTGTCCAGGCTGAAGTTGGTGTTCACCACGTCCCTGAGGTACCGATAAGAGGCAACAATTGAGACTGATGCCCCTTGTACCTTCCAATCCTTTCCCTCAATGTCTTCCCTTGGGCCGTGCAGAACCATAATTCCGCACTTAGGAGCGCTTACCGCCATGTCCCACCGGTTGGCCCATTGTTCAAGATGGTGGATGTAGCGCATTTTCTTTTACTCCCGTAATATTTTAACTTCTTCGCTACCACTGTGTTGCAGTTGCATTAACGGAACCATTTCTTTGGTTCTACTAATGTTTCTTTACATGCTTCAGTATGGTATTGTATGCAGCTCAATTGTTGGGCTTTGCTATCCATACAAACTTTGTAAATTTTCCTTTTTTAACTCCTTTTTTAACTTTCCTTTTGATTTAATTTAGAGCATTTTGTTTAATTTGAAAGAGAGAAATGTATTTATTGAAATAGAAGATAAACATTGCATTTACTTATTTATCTGATAGCTTATCATTCAAAGTCACACAATTCTACCTCAGAATGGAGTAGGCAAATATAATTGCTGCTTTTCTCAAGCTTCTTTATTGAACTATCATTGTCAGATTTTCATTGTCTTCTTTTTGGACAATATTTATTATGCTGAATTTCCTTTGCACCTCTTTGATTCTGAAATTAGTTTTTGAAGACTGAATTCCTGTCATTTATGTGAGCTGCTAATTACACCCCCGTAGAATATGCATGCAATGTTGTCCTCTTTTTGTTTTGTTATAATAATACGTGGCCTTGTCGAGAGGACCTTTCTATTCAGCCGTGATTGAAATGGCATTGTTCAAAAAGGTTACAACAGAAAATGAAAGGCCAGCATTGCTTTCATGAAGCAAAAGATAATCAGCCTTTGATGTCAAGAAATTGAGAATCCTATTCAATAGCATTTCAAAGCTGTTGATCAAGGTGATGCTTAATTTGTAGAAATGATGAATTGAGTTATTACCATACAAATGCTGCATTCGCTGAACAAAACAAAACCCTACAGTTTTGAAGTGTCAAAAATCTCTAACAGGACTCCACTATAAAATCTATTTAATGCTTGCTAATCTATGTTCTGTTATGTATGCAACATAGCAGTATTGATGTGATTACCTTCCTTTCTTGAAGTTAAAACTTGTCACATCAAATTTGCAATTTAATAGTTCCTCTTTTATTCCAGTCTTCAAAACAAAATTGTACTGAAGTGCAACAGAAATGATCATCTGTCAATATTTTCCTTAACTAATTTTCTTGCTGATATATTACTGCATGTTATCAATCTTATTGCAGCTTTGAGTTCTTATCTTTACTGTAGCTCCAGGCAAATAGGAAATCAGTGTGTTTTATATTTACACTCCAATCTTATTAACGTCTATTGCAACAGACATTGCATACTTATTATCAAGCAATAATTTTGTTAAAGCGCGATGAGCAGAAAAACAAAGAAAATGTTTGTGCTTTCTGACATATAGTGTGTTATCCAGATCTGTTTTGAATTTATGAAAGTCAGGGCAGGAAATTTGTTAGACATTGATGGAGTCAATAAATACTAAGAAGATTCTGACACAAATAAAATAAACATGTGTAGTTCCCATACCTAGCAACTATAGAACTATTGGCCTGACTTCAGACAAATGGAATCAGTTTTCAGAAGCAAAGGAAGGATGAACTGTTTGAAAATAACCTAATAAATAACAGTTAACCCAGCTTCAGATGTGGTAGGTCATGTCTGACGAAATTAATAGACGTTTAAGAAGGTACCATCCTTATATAGCCACATAAGCTAATTTAGTGATGATTTGAGTCAACACTCGATTTTCAAAGGCATTTCAGAATGTATCATACCCTTGCAAACTAATATTAGTGGGTATCAAGTGTAAGACGTGGATTTGAATTAGTAACCTGCTAAGGAAAGTAAGAGAGTGGTTATGGAGGAACTTGGTCATGATCGTGAGAGATTTTGAGAGCAGTTCCTCAGGGAACGCTTTGTTTCTGGTACATATAAATGAACTAGATTTGCAGAATCAGTGCAAGGTGGTTACATTTGCAAATTACACCAATCTAGGGAATACTGTGGAATCAGAGGAAGCATCCAATATCTTACAAAATAAACCTTATATGGTAGAATCTAATCTGACAATTGAAATTCAATATGGAAAAATAAAGGGTACTGTATATAGGAAATAAAAAAAATGAAACATTTACTGTATGAATAGAATGCAACTTGCCTTGGGGGATAGTGAAAGAAAGCTCGGAATGTCCAGCGCAAGATAGCAATAAATAACAACAACAACAAGATTACATTTAAAGAGCACCTTTCACGTCGGGAGGACGTCCCAAGGAGCTGGACAGTTGGGTCAGGACCCGAGCAAGGGGGAAATGGTGAGGGTGAGGGGAGGGAAGGGAGGGAGCGAGGAGGGGGTAGAGAGTCGAGAGGGGAGCTGAAGGCACGGTCAAAGAGAAAGGTCTTGAGACCGGCCTTGAAAGAGGAAAGGGAGGAGGCGGCGAAGGCACTGGGAATGGAGTTTCAGAGCCTCGGGGCTGAGAGGCTGAAGGCCCGGCCACTGATGGTAGGGCGGTTGGGGCGGGGGATGTGGAGTAGACCGGAGCCGGAGGAACGGAGGGTACGGGCGGGTAGGTAGGGGGATAGTAGGTCGGAGAGGTAGTAAGGAGCAAGGCCATGAATGGCCTTGTAGGTGAGGATGAGGATCTTGAATTCGATCCTCTGGGGGATGGGAAGCCAGTGGAGGCGAGCGAGGGAGGCGAGCAAATAAGGCATTGCACATCAGTTCAGTTTAGATCGCCAGAAGTCACGCACAAGATGTTCGATGACAGTCACACAGACAGTCACACAGATCCCGGAGTATTGTATACAATTCTAGTCTTTGCTGAACGGACACAGATTGAAGTCCAACTTCGCAAAATACATTATTTTTACATAGATGGTAATTATTAGCTGAAATCAGTTACTACAAAAGATGCCAGAACATTGTACTTATTTAAAGAATCAGCCTTATACTATAATGAGAAGATGGTAGGATTGGTATTCTGGAAGTTTAAGATAAGATGGGCTGCAGAGCCTTCATCCAAACCTCTTATGGAACTTCACTGTTTAACTGTTTGTGCCTTGCACTAATATTTCTGTAGCCAGAATCACCAGTAAATTACTATTCTAATATTTTGAAATCATAAAATATGCTGTGATTTAAATATGTTTTGTACATTTTCCTTTTTTTATATAACAAGTAGCACCAAAAATGTGCAGCAAATCATTCTACAAATGACTTGGTGTCCAAATTTTAAAAATAGAAAAGCTCTTCTCTACTCAATGGTTTTCGGAAATTCATCACATGTGTTTCATTTTTTTTTCCCCTGCATTTTGCAAATGCAATTGAATGCATAGCAAAGATAATTTTTTCTAATGGAATAGGTTAACTCAAATGTATTTGAGTTGGGTGGGGGACGTAAGTGGGTCGCCTTGGAGCTGAACTGACTCTAAGGTGACATACCTGGCAATGGAATGTCGGAATCGAGCCAGTCCTCTGTGGTGGTCTCGGTAGTACAGTTCCTGGCGGGTCCACAGTATTTCAGACCACTGCTACTGACAGCACAGCCAGCGTGGCTCATCAGCAGATCCTGGAAGAACAGACCAGTCACTGGGGGCAGGGAGTCATCCCACTCAGCTCCTGTTAACCCTGCAAGCCAAAGCCCTAAAGGGTAGGTAGGGTGGTCCTAGCTGGACAAGCAATGGGAAAGCTTGCCGGACAGCAATATCAATGGGAAGCTATGCAGTTTTAGCTGGTTAGACTCCAGCAGTACCACAACGCACACTCTGGGGTCCTCAAGCCTTGGCTCTTGCAAACCTGTGCCTAATACTTCCTGGAATTAGGTAAGCAGGATGTGTCCCTCCAGGGAGAGAGTGCACGTTCTATGCCAACAATCTATCTCTGGGATTTACATGTGTAGGTGAGATGCATGGAAATCTCATCTTGGTTTGGATAATCTCAGTATGGTTTCAGGCATTTAGACAACCGGTTGACGCCCAACAAATGTATTTGCATTGACTCTAAATGCAAATCAATTAAAGTAATATTTCAACACGTACAATTCATAACTCTAGTTTTCTAGGGAATTGAAGCACATATAAGAAACCAGTATGATTAATGATAATGTAATGTTAATTCCATTTTATTACAAATAAGAAGTAAAAAAAAAGTAATTTGAACAAAGGAACATTTGGAAGATTCCTGTAAAACTCAAACCTTGAGCAAATTAGGAAAATATAGCTGATTCAATATTGCTAGGTGTTCATAGAACATATTCTAGCAAGAAAGGTTTTAACATTTAACTCCATTGGCTTTGGGGATCAGCAGATACCAATGCAGATTTTTTCTCCCAGTAGATTATATAATACTATTTACATTTATATAGCGCCTTTCACGTCAGGAGTTTGACAGACTCCATAATAGAGTGGGTTTGTGTGGTCTGTAGAAAGGAGTGGGCTTAATATGGCAAAATGGCCTTTTCAGATATATACTCCTACCTTTATCAGTTATAGAGTCACATTAATAGATACCTGCAAGGATGTTTGACTCAGTGTGCATTATACAATGTATCTTTGGGCAATAAAAGGGAAAAATGTGAAACAACACAACAACAAAAATAATAGTTAATGATTAATTGGTGGTTTAATGTAATGTTGGCAAATTGGACATTTTTATTGATAAAGTAATCCTGAATTTTGCAACCACATTTCCTCTTGTGATATTGTTGGAAAACACTTAAATGAGTTATACTTTTTGTGTTTCAGTTTCATTGAAAGAGGTGGAGAATAATCAAACTGTTTCCCAGTTTCTTCACCCTGAAGCATGGCATATAGTATATGCGGATAATTTCACCTGCCCTGACGACGTGCTGGTCAGCGAGAATAGTGGAAGGCTTTCTCCAGAGACCATCAAATTTAAACTTGTGTTACTAAATCCAGATGCAGCAAACAACCCACTGGACCACTTCAGTGCAGAGGAATCTGGTAACTATACTTTCTCTCCTTTGAATTGTATTCTTAGAACTATAGCAAAAGGAAACATTGTTTAAATTAAACTTGACTCAATACAGTAGTTGTAATCAGTCACTACTGTGCCGAGGATATCATGTTTCAAGCAATGCTGTTCTGTCCAAGAAAATTTGCTGTATCCGTCAGTAAAAGTAATAATACAAACATGTTTTCGAAATTGTAATTTTATAAAACTTTGAACATTTGATGTAAATTAGCTGCTTCTGAATTTAAAATCAACTTCCAACATAAAATTCCCTCTCAACTTTATATATCGCAGTCATTATTTTAATACTAACCTTTTATTATTGATATTTCATTTTGTCTTTCGCTCAAGTCTGATCTTTTTGCCTGCTTATGTACTACTATTCAATGATGACACTAAAAGACACACTATTCACTACATCTTATTTGTATTCTCTTACCATTTCAGCATACATTTGAGAAAGGAAATGCTTCAAACTATATTTTAATAGCTTAAAAAATTGTTGTGTGAGCATAGCACATATTTTATGAATAATAAAGAAGCAAATCATAGTATAAACTTAAAAGTACATAAGAAAGTGCTAAAATTTACTAGTAAAACAAAATATACTTCTTTTCAGATTAGTGATATTATGGTTAAAAAAAGTAGTCCTGCACCCATTTCTTTTCAGATCAATAGAAATTGTTCTGTTTCTACAAATACAAATACAAAATTACATTTGTATAGCGCCTTTCACGTCAGGAGGACGTCCCAAGGTGCTGGACAATCGAATTTGGACCCGTGTTGTAGTAGCTGATGCCTACCATCAGGTGACACTGTGATACCAGCTAGTGACAAAAATTAAGATTTTTGCCTTAGCCTGTTCCTATAATTTTAAAATGGCTAAGAAGTGGAATATTACATAAGGAATGTGTTCCAATGCATAAAAGAGAAAACTATAATTAAGAAAAGTTTTTTAAACAAAGTGCAATATTGTTTGTACATACAGTTTGAAATGAGGAGCATCAAGATAATAGTATTATATTTCAAATTTCTTTATTAATTTTCACTTTTAGTTGAGGATTAAGATTTTTGCAATTGAAAGATTCGAGGACTACATAAATGTTGATGCTGGACCATGAGGTTCAAACATGTTGTTATGGAAACTGCAAGCTCAAAATAAATGAGCATTCAAATTCTGCCAGCAGTGGTGATTTTCTGTAATAACGCAGTAGGCTCATTCAACTCTTGTCTATCCTGGGGCTCAGGGTAGGAAGAAATAAGTAACATGAAAGACTTCACTGTCTGCATCACAATTGCTTGCTGTATGTTGGTCTTGGGCCACACTGCCAGAAGAATATTTTTTGACCCTTGCATTTGGATATTTTTACTTTCTGTTTAGATGTTCCCACACCACTCTCTTGTGTTTTATTGTGGGAGACTAGTGTGTGCTTTCTACTTCAAGAATCAATGGTCGCTTTCAATCTTCTTTTCCATAAAGTAATGTTACAATGAACATACCAACGCATGTACATGTCTGTGCATCGTATTTGAATTAGCCTCATCATCCTGATAATTAGTTTAATTTTATTTTGAGTCACTCTAATGTCAGGAGTCTGGATTTATAGCACATTGAATTGTTTGTACAATAGGTACAGTGTTTGCTTAGCATGGTTCACCACTATCAACACTGTGTGTGATCTGATGACTTAATCATTTTGAATGTTTAAATTCTCTGCATGCCCTGAATTAACACAATATGTTCTACAGCCCTCACAAGAAAACATTGACTTTCTCTATCATCCAGATACAGTAACATTTCACAGGGAGAAGTTATTTAAATGCAGTGAAGGGTACATTGATATTTGAAATGATATTGCCAATGCCTTCTACTAGGGTATGGTTCTATGGGTGTCTGGGGTATCTCAGCCAAATGGCAATTACTTATTTATGTTTGATCCTTGACTGAGTGATGACTGGCCTTTTGACTGAGAGGAGGGGATCACAGTTGAACCCAATTATGTCCACACCAGACATTCACACATGAACTTCCAATACACATTGCTGGATAATGAGCAAGAATGACAACCCTGCTGAAACAACAAGCATGCCTCCTGTTTCTCCAGCTAACTCATTGAACCCATCTGTCATTTTGTCAAAAGACGGCCTAAACAACAACAGCAACAAAATTACATTTGTAAAAGCCTTTCACGTCGGGAGGACATCCCAAGGTGCTGGACAGACAGAGTTACGGACCCGAGCTGAGGGTAGGGGTGGGGGGGAGAGTGGAGGGCAAGGAGGAAGCAGGGAGATTGAAAGCACGGTCGAAGAGAAGGGTCTTGAGATGGGTCTCGAAGGTGGCAAGAGAGGGGGTGAAGCGGAGGGACTGCGGGATGGAGTTCCAGAGGGTGGGGGCAGAGTGATGGAAGGCCCGCCTGCCTATAGTGGGCCGGGCAAGGCGGGGGCCGTGAAGCAGGCCGGAGCCCACTGAGTGGATGGAGTGAACAAGGAGTTAGGGGGTTAGGAGCTCAGAGAGGTAGGGGGGGAGCAAGACCGTGGAGGTCTTTGAAGGTGAGGACTAGGATCTTAAACTGCATCCTCTGTGTGATGGGAAGCCAGTGGAGTCGGACAAGGATGGGGGGATAGGGTCACGGAGCCTAGTGCGGGAGAGGACATGGGCTGCAGAGTTCTGGATGATCTGCAGCCTGTGGAAGGAGGAGTTGGGGAGGCCGACAAGCAGTGAGTTTTCATAGTCGAGCCTCAATGTTATGAAAGCATGTATGCGGGTTTTGGCGGCTTGCGGTGTGAGACAGTGTCGGAGCCGGGCGACGTTGCGGAGGTGGGGGAAGGCAGAGCAGGTCATGGCACAGATATGAGGTAGAAAGGAGAGTTGAGGATCAAACAATACCCCAAGGATCCGGACTGGCTTAGCAAGGTGGAGTGTGCAACCACGGATGGTGAAGCTGTCAGCGCCTGAGGTGAGGAGGCGCTGACGGGAACCAATCAGCAGAGCCTCGGTCTTGTTGATGTTCAACTGAAGAAAGTTGGCTCTCATCCAGGACTTGATGTCTGACAGACATTCTGTCAGGACAGCAGTGGTCTTTGAGTCAAGGGATGTTGTACATTGATGGTAACAGACTAAAGCAAACTTTGAATGCTTAATTAAATGGATTAGAAATGTTCTCTGAAGAGACAGTTGCAGTTAGACTGCAACCTTGAAATCATTCCAGGGTATTTTTTATTGTATACCGTTCATTTTCTGAATAGTTTTATACAGCTTTTGACTCACTGTTGTGCCAAGGCAGCTCTTAATACAAATGCTGACTCATTGCTGTATGTCATTGACAATTAAGGTTATGACATTAGTGTTTGTTGAATAATAATGACGTTGATTACAGGAAAATTGATGCGTAATATATATTATTATGCATGTTTGCTTTTCCTCTATAATTTGAGGCTGATTAGGAATGGCATTTGAAATCTTCTTTTCATTGCTACATCATTAGATTTTATTCCAACTGTTTGTTTCCTTGAATGTGAGCTATATTTATTATTTTCACAGGGTTACATGATTTCTACTTCCTGCTCGTATTGGCTTACTTTGTAGTGGCCTGTATATATTTTCAACCACTCTGGCGATCTATTAAGAAAGGTGGGCCTATGCATAATATCCTGAAGGTTTTGACTTCTGGTTTGTTGCTGCAGGCTGGTGCAGCAATCACAAACTATATACATCTATCCAGGTAAAGTGGTATTAAAAGACTTGGTGATTATAAAAATGATGTTTCTTACTTCTAAGAGTTCCACGTTCTTTTAAAAATAAATTGGGAGATTTGTGTACTCAATTTCCTCAACCTACCAAATACCTGATCTGGCATATTTTATCAAGTGAAACACCTAGGAGAGACAAATGTGAGATACCTACTCACAAATGCTTTATTAATTTAGCAAATGCTAGAAATAAATCCTTTCAGGGCAGCTTTCTTATAGTGGTATAACTAACTTCTGCTTTTGACTAACTTGTGCTTTTGATACATTTAATGGTATAGAGACCGTAAGGTGAAAAATGCAGGAAAATTGGGCAAAATGCATGCAAAATAAATTGAATGTAACACGGATGGTTAAAAATTAGAAAAATTGGCCATTTTTTAAAACAAGTGAAACATTTTAAATTTGGAGAGAATTGCACGGGAATTATATATTTTTTTTTTTTGTGTACAGTGAGAAGGGATTTTATATAAAATAATTCTACCAAACTATTTGCCTGGTAAGTTAATATCCATGCTGCTGATTAACTTGTTACTGTAATAATATTCCTTGTAATATTTTTTCAGGTTCTCAGTGGATGGAATTGGAACACCTTTGCTGGGCAGTTTAGCTGAATGTAAGATGTAACACCTGCTAAAAGTGCAGCTTCTGTTGTTCAGTTTTTCTTTTTGCAGTTGACTCCTAGTAAACACATAACTCATCCAATGTAGTAGTAGAATTTCAACTTACCAAATCATTTCACACTTAATTAGTATCTAAAATTTCTGATCAAAGCATATCGCTTCAATGAATATTGGTCTTTGAGTATTAAAAGATTATTCACATTACTCGGTACAATGAATATTGTCAGCCAGTATATATTGAACAATAAATCTTAATTTTTTTATATCATTATGTTGTGGAATGATTAATTTCCAAACATGTCAAGGTGTTGCTGATAATACCAAAACAAACAGCATAGAAGAAATTTCTGATTTAAATAGTACAACATCAGTACATTAATGACATTGTCAGCAGGGAATATTTCAACAGACTGAATGTTTTCACCAAAGGGAATTAAAAATGAGGATGAGCAGAGATACCATCAGTCCCCGTTATAATGCCACCTGGCACAGTGTGGTATAACTGTGGACAGGTTTTGCTTGTGCACTGACTCCATGGCTTGCTGCACTGACTGGATGGCTTCTGGTGCTACCGAATGGCTTTCTGCACAAAGTATTCAGGCACAAAAGCCCACCCATCAGTTAGCAGTGTTCCAAAAAAGCTCAAGAGAGCAGTTTCTAGCATACTCTGTGCTCTTATGACGCAGAAACTCTGAATGGTGACCTTTACAACAGGGTCTGATTTTATGAATCCTTGAGACCAAAAGATTATAATGGGGTCTGACCAGTAGTAAACATGAAATTATGTTTTTGGAGGGTTTTTTTTAGTAGAAAAGACTTGACATTCTAATAAATGGTCAACTTCTGGGCTAACATGTCTCTGATAACATCGCACTGCAGGGCCCAGGATGGCTCATCTGTCTATGCTGGGATTCTTCTTGTTCCTAATATACATAAATAAACTGGATTCACAGATTAGGTGCAAAATAGTTAAATTTGTAATCAACAGTAAGGTAGATGAGAAAGCAACCAAATGTGGCAAGCATTATGGAGGTAGCCATCAAGTCATTTCAACAGGAAATGTACCTGAATGCATCATTTTAGAAGTAAATGTTAGTAGCTGCATATGCATAGATGAAATAAAAGACACGAAGGGTAAAGTTAAAAATGATCTAAGAATGTTAGGTGACTTGCCACCCACTAAAACAACGCAAGAGTGTCAGCAAAAGCTGTCAATTTATCATAAAGTTGACATGCTTTTTCAAATAAGTTTTACTGTGCTCAAAACTGCGACCTTCTAAGAAATTACAACTGACAAATAAATCCCTCCTATGATGTACAAAATTATGCATTACAGTAGATTGTTTTCTGTATTCTGTAATGGTCTCTGTTGAAAAATAGTTTTCAAATCTTTTTGTTGGTATGCCAAATATCTTAACATAACAAGCCAGTTATTGCCAAGAAACTTTAATTTGCAAAAACATCATTGTGTGACTTGGCTGTAGTGTTCATCATAGCAAATCGCTGCCTGATTAATTGCTTCCCCAAGCATTAAGGAAAAAGTTAAACAGTTCATATCCAGGAAAAAGCTCCCAGTGGATAAACACAGTGCTGAGCCCAGCAAACCAGAGGATCTTCAGGTGGATACCTGATCTATATTACGTTAGTAGACTTTGTTCTTAGCAACAGAAAATGTGCTATAAATAGGCCTCAGTGCCCTCAGACATAGTGCTGGGTAAAATCAATCAGCACTCCTACTTTTGATTGCTGACCATTGACTCATTCTTGAAACATTTGTTGTCTGTGTTGGGCAATTGTAGAATTCAGTTCAGCTGTGATGCTCCACGTAGAATTAAAATAGCCTGTCCACAATCAAATATGAAGAATGATCATTTGGACCAGATAGCAGAGGGTGACTCACAAATATGGAACAGTATCCCAACATTGAACTACTTTTCAGGAAAGGAGGGTGCTTTTTTTTTTGGCCGGGAGGGGGGTCAAAGACTTCTGTAAACCTATCTCTAGGAATCTGAAAGGTAAAATGTTTGTCTGTTGGAGAGTGTTGTGGTTAGTGTTGAACGCTGCATGAGTATAATGGTAAATCCCATTTGTGACCAACATTGTGAAAGGTGATATACGTAACATTCACTAAAATATTTTTAAGTATGTCTTTGATACAGGAGCTTGAATGAAAAAGAATAACCATTACACACACCTTAGTTTTGATGTCCTGGGAAAAAATTATTGAAGTTAAAAGCAAGAAATGGTACAATTAGCAAACAGTGAACTTACAGCTTTTTACATTACATTTTTAGCTTCATTAAATAATAAAGTTTTTTTTAAATATGTTATTTGTTTTTTGTTTTTCCTGCAGATTTTGATTCTTATTACGCAGATGGTAAAAACAATACAATTAAGATTATTGATTTCCATATCACTACTTTTTTTGCAGTGCTAATAGCTTGTCTTTGATGCAACAATTGTTTTACATTTGGACAGAAAGTTGATTGTTTTAAAATATATTTTAAAATATATTTAAAATATATTGTGCCATTGAACAGTTGATATCCACTTTTGGACATAATTTCCAAAATTATTTTTCATAGATTTAATAGAAATAGAGGTTGCATGATCTAATGAATATATTGCTGTCTGAACTAATGAAATCTTCTTCTCCCCTGACAGTGTGTGACATGGTTTCCCAAATTCAGATGTTATACTTGCTGCTGAGTTTATGTATGGGATGGACTCTGGGTAGAATCGGAAGAACCCAGAGTAAGCTTGTACAATGGGACTCAACCCCAGTGACCACTGCCATAGCTATTACTGTTGTTATTGCTCAGGTCAGTTATCTCCAACCTCTCTACAAAACACACAGTCACTACACTTTATACTAAATCCTTTGAAACGCTTGGTGACATCCTCCCAAAGTGAAAGGCACTATATCACATCCAATTGTAATCTATGAAGAAGAAATCCGACAGGTTTCAAACATCTTACAAGCTTAGAAATTGGGTGCAATGTTCTAGTTAGCGTATTAAATGTTGACTACTGACACTACCTATTTAGCCAATTCAGGCTTGAATTATGCATATTGGAACATGTTTTAGAATGTTTTTTCAGGAGTTTTCATAAAGTTAATTTGGGGTAATATTTTTTAATATGTGTTGGTAAGTTATAATTCAAATCTATTTTACTTCCACAGCAAAGCATTCCAAAATGTCAACCCTTCATGCTGTTTGTTGGGCATGAGCATTCGGGGATTCAGCTGTGGGTCTTTTGAGTTTATGGTGGAACAATGTTTGGTTTTGAGCTATCCAAACATTAAGGAATCGAAGCTGAATTAGTAAATTTCATCAGTCCTGCTTGTCCTGTGTGTCACTTACTTTAAGAGTATCTAATATAACTTTGGTGTGTGAATCCAGGCTTAGTAGAGCAGCCGCTGCTCTGTAGGAAGTAGGGTAAAGTTTTCATGATTGCATGGTGTTTCATTAGATGGGTAATACAAAATTTACAGCCAAATTTGTAAACAAAAGGTCCCACCACTTTCCCCCTTTCGATCAGGTGATACAGTGGTAGATGCTACTTCAATAATAATAATAGAAATAAACTTTCTTTGGTAAGTGGAAGCAATAGGCATTATTTCTGCCTATAAGGATAAAGAATAAATATTTTATATTCTGCTTGTTCAGAATTTTTAAAAAAATATTTGGGATGCCATACACAAATAATCCACCACGGTAGTTATGGTTTCCTTATTTATCAGTGGTGTTAAAATTGTATAGTCGCCTGGTTTCTGGCTGTTAGCTCTTAAATGACCTAAATCAGTAGGTTAAGTTAATATGTTAATACTAATGCCAAACTAGTCACCTTTCCTGAGTACCAGCGGGAACTCCCTGCCACAGAGCATCTGGAAAGCACAGATCTACAATCTAGCAATACTTATTGATTGGTGGAAAACTATGTTATTGTCAGCAGTAGCCCTATGCTGCTGTTGAAATTGAGTTAAATTTAAATGAAAACCCAATACCACAATATAATTTGTGTACATTTCTAATTAGAGTAGTTTGACAGTAACATACATCAGTGCACAGCCATGACTTCACACTAATACTTGTGCTATTCATAATCTGTGGAAGTGGACATGTGTTGCTTTGCACAGAGGATCTAGAAACAAACATTGCAGGTCCCATCAGGTTATGATTACAGTCAAATTTAGGAAAGTACTTTCCCTGTAGTGCTAATTTAATTTTTTTCCAGAAACAAGATGGTTACAACCCAAGGACCCCCCCCCCGCCCCCCAGAAATGCTCCTCCTTCTACTCCCCACACTCCACTGCTCCCAATCAGTCCTCCCCTCCCACCACCCTCCTCGCCTTCTGTCTCTTCTGGACCCTATTATTGCCTCCCTCTGCTCCAGCCTGGCATCCTCCTCCTGACCCATCATGGCTCTCAGTGATGGTTATCCCAAAGCAGCCACCTTGACTGCCCCATCGCCCACTCTACGCAATACAGCCACCACCCTCACCTCCAAAAGGCAAACACCCCTTCCCTCATCCACATCCTTACCCTTCTCAACTCCTCCCATATTCATTGACTACCGTCAACGTCTTCTGACCTCCTCAACCTCCCTGGCCTATCCTTTACTTACTGAACCACTGCGCAAATTAGGTTTAACCCACAGCTGTCCTTCCTTCCCCACATCTAGTCCCTGACTAGGATTGCCTTCTTCCACCTCTGTTATTACCCACCTCCGACTCTACCTTACCTCAGAGACAGCCGAAACACTCATCCATGCATTCGTCACCTCCTGACTCGACTTCTCAAATGCCCTCTTTGCCAGTCTCCCCAGGTCCACCATGCACAGCATCCAACTGATCCAAAAGTTTGCCGCCCGCATACTCGCCCATACTAAACTCTGCATCCTATCACACCAGCTCTAGCAAGGCTCCACAATACCCCTATCGCCGATCGGGTCGATTTCAAGATCCTCACACTCATTTTCAAATCCCTTCATGGCCTGGCACCTCCCTACCTCTCCAACCTGCTCACCCCACAACCTACCACCCACTGCCTCTGCTCACTGGCTCCGGCCTTCTGCATGTCCCCTGTGCCCTCTGTCCCACCATTGGTGGCTGCGCTTTCAGCCACTATGTCCCGAAACTCTGGAACACTCTTCCTCTATCGCTCTGCCTTGCTCTTTCCTTCCCCATCTTCAGGTTGCGCTTGAAGACCTTCCTATTCGACCATTCCTACGGTCACCTCCCATTCCCTTCCTGCTCGGCATCGTGCTATGCCACTGTCAAGCGCTCTGGGGCGCTACACTACGTGAGGGGTACCATATAAATACAAGTTGTTGTTTAATACTGCCTCTGTCTTTGTCTATTTTTATTTACAGGGTATTTTGTTGCTTTGGGAACAAATAGAAGATACTGATCACCATAGCTACCATGCACACCGTAGTGTGGCAGCTCTGCTACTCATTGGTTTAAGAGTAAGTCTGGCCCTGCTCTTAGCCTCTGGTCTTTACCAGATAATTACCATGGAAAGAAGTGCACTTAAGAGAGACTTCTATGTAAGCTTTACTAAGGTGAGTGTGATAATTCATGATGAGCAGCTAAACCAGGTTGCTACCTGCATGTGACATTTAATTAGAAAGTTAGTTGGAAGATTAAGGTTTCCCTGTGGTCAAAACATAAATTTAAATAAAATGGGAAGAAGAGATGCAATGTGCCTTGGAGGAAAACATTATTCACAGATTTTGGCCTCACAGATTCTAATTTACTCACATAATAATATCACTTAAATCAATGATGGAACAGTAATTAAAACATGGTCCTAATCTATTTTCAAACTTGAAGCTTGAGTAAAGTGAACAAACTGCAGAGCAGCCTGAAATGGTACTTTGCTTCTGATAGCAAAAGTACGCGGTAGCTAATACTCATGATGTGGGTGGGATGTGTCAGTTAAAAGATGAACAGTTTAATGGTACAATCCCTTGAAATACTTCGGCATGAATTGGACATTTTTGTCCACCCAATGATTCTTTACAATCTCAAATTTGAGTTGCTATGTTTGGTGATAAATTAACCAACCTTTGGTATTTGATGTTATATCTCTAAAGATCACTAAAAAAAACTGAAGTTGAGAATACCTCCTAATTGGGGATACCTCATTAATATCCAAAGGAAGACATTTAGTGATATATTGTAAAATACAAAAAAAGTGGTAAAATAAAAACAAATTCAAAGTAAAAGAAAATGCAAGAAAGGGAATAGAATGTAAAAACATCATCCTCTGTCTTGACTCAGAGCACCTGTCCATTGAAATCAAAACCAGGGTTGGTCTTGCGACAATACTCAAATTGTTATTTAACCCTTGCCTATAAAGTATATAAGTATATTGATGGTTGATTGAAATCTATAATGAACTTTTAACCCAACACAAAATCTTTTCTTTGTTCTGCACCAGGGTTGCGTCTTATGGTTTCTCTGCCACCCTGTACTTGTCGGTGTCTCTGTTGTGTTTCCTGATTACCAACGTGAGAAGGTACGTACTTGAAAAATAGAAACCTGCTACTGGAAATTAGTGTTTTTATTCAAGAAATTAGAGTTATCTCTTCATTTTTGTAACTCAAAACTTTACAGAGCAGAATTTATGTAGAATCAAAGTCTATAGTGACAAATGCCCTCAAAAAATATCTCCTGGTATCACTTTGAGCTTGAATGCAAATGGTGTGTAGCTCTACAGCTAATGAAATTTATATCTGACTTGCTTTCTTGTAATAAGTTAATATTCTATCATTAATATATTCTAACATATTCTATGTTAATATTCTATTCTATTTTTAAAAAAAGCTTGCTGAGAAGCAGGATTAAGTGTTCTAGGGAGAAGGACTGATAAAAATAACTGAATGAAGTGTGGGAGTATAGCAATTTCTTATCTGCTGAGATCATGGAGTATACCAATGAACATAACCGGTCAAGGCTGTATAATATAGAATGTAAGGTTCAATAGGTGTTCTACAGTTCTACATTTTGGTCATTGAATGGAATAGGGAGACATTTTGTAGATCTTTCTACAGGAGATTAAATGGGTTGGGTAGAATCAATGATGGAGTATATTTTAATGATTTGTTGAAGCAATCAAATTGTTAGCCTCAATCACCTTTTAGTATTTTATTCTTTATATATATTTGTGTTCTTGCATACAATCCACCTAAGTAACTTCAAGTTAGAAACGGGAAAATCAGGCAGTTTATGCTTCTGATTGCCTTTTGATGTTTTTTTACTCCACTAGCATCACAAGTGCTGCCAACATGTTACCAATCATATCTTCTTAAATTTTCCAACAATAAAATATATGGGAAGAACCCATTATGTTACGACTTATGTTGCAAATGGGATTTGTATTGTAATTTTGTTTAAAGCTTCATACAATATAATTATTTTTACATTGGCATCAAAATTGGTTTCTGTACATAGTTCAGTCTCATGTTCTTTTCGTCTACTATTTTGAATTTGAAATATAAAATATTTTGTTGCAAAAATAAAGATGAAACAAGAAGATTCCTGCTGTAGCCATGGAAAAATAATGTAGACCTCCAAACCGCCCAGTGCTTTCTCAACAATAGTGTTATTGTTGTTGTGTTAAGTCACATGTTGTTAACCTCACACATTGCCTATTTTGACCATTGAATGTATAAGTGCCCCCCACCCCCTGTCCAGTTATTTCTAATGGCCAATTAAGCAGCTGGATGACCTCATTGCTTTATGAAAAACCCATGTAAAAAATTGCTCACCCAATTAAAATAAAAATTTGTGCACATATTATTCAACCTACCATGTGATGACTTTTACCATTAAGATTTGGGATTTTGCCTAAACGATGGACAGGCTTGGGCTTGACATTGATGTCCCTCACAGTTGAATAACTTGATTGCTAACCCCCATCCTCCCTAGGCTCCAATGGCCCATTCACCAGTGGATTTAATTCAAGATCCTCGTCTGTGATTTCAAATCCCTTCACAGCTCTGTCCGCTCCTCCCACCTTTCAAGGCCACCCTATGTCCTTTTCGACCTCACTTACAGTTCCCTTTTATTCCCCCCTCCCCACCAAATTTTAAATAAATAAACCTCTTACAATTTAAAGTACTAGTAGAATATGGGGAAAACTAAATTCTTAACCTAAACAGAATATAGACTTTGTTCATTACTTTTGTTTATACAGGCTGACCAAAAAGTCTTATTTTTCAGCTACCCCATTACCTAAAATAAATCATAATTTCTTTAAGACATATTAGACATTGTAATGGTTTCATAACTTTTTGGTCATCCTGATAAAAAGAGTTACTGCACCTTGAAAAATTTGTCAATATTATTAATCACAGTACAATCATTGAGAATAAAATGTCATTTTATTTGTTCTGCAGCTTATCACAATTGGTGTTATTCTGTGTCAGTCCATTTCAATTGTCGTCTTGTATAAACTCTTCATATCTCGAAGTCTCTACTGGGAGGTCTCGTCTCTTTCTTCAGTCACACTACCACTCACTATGTCATCCAGGCACCGTGGTCGCTACTATTCCTAGTGATGAACTCTGTGGGTGAAAATCAAAAGCACCAAGATTGTAGTTGTTGGAAATCTTTTTTGTTGAAAGTGTTCCAAGGTTGGTAAAACTTTCCAAAATAAATAATTTAATTGCAATGCACTCTATGAATTATGCACTTGCACATAATATGTACTTGAATTAGAAAATGAATTTAGGAATTAGATTCAGAACTCGTAAAAAGGACATATTCGCAAAAAGGTGATGTTGAAGCTCATTGATGTGCAAGAATAGTCTTTACGTTTTAGCCCATGGCCTGAGGAAGAATCCATTATGTTACGACTTATGTTGCAAATGGGATTTGTATTGTAATTTTGTTTAAAGCTTCATACAATATAATTATTTTTACATTTGCATCAAAATTGGTTTCTGTATATAGTTCAGTCTCATGTTCTTTTCGTTTGTTATTTTGAATTTGAAAGAATGCAGAAATGTTATTGATTCCTGCCACTTTTTTTTGGTCATAGCTAATTTTTTATACGTTTAAGTTGTGTTCTATTTAGGAAAAAATAGATGTTGTGGCATAAAAAAATTCCAATGCATGGCAAAAGTGAAACACTAATAATTTAAGAAAATACAATATGCTGCTTCTTGGAAATGAACATTTTATCTGTTGAAATAAACGAACAAATGTTTCTTCAAATAATTTTGAAAATATTTTCCCTTGAGCTGCCATATGTCATTCAGTAATTTATCAGTCAAAAAGATGAAATGACTGCTATCAAATGGTGCTGCATGATCAGCTGATGGTATGTGTACTTACAGAATGCAGAGCAATATAGTGGTTTATTCCAATTTAGGATGGAAACAACTTCCCAAAGCAAAATACTGTCTTTCTCATAGCCTAGATAACAACTGACTAAATTCATTCCAAAATTGGAGGGATGCTTCTTGAGACACTGGCTAGTGACTATCTGATGTTTTTAAGGGAACCGTAAACTCCCAAATCTTCTTTTCGCAATAATGGGAAATGTATTTACAATGTTCTTACAATGATATTTACAATATGGAATTTTTTTAAAAAACACACTAGAGAGATTACATTTGATGTGTAGTACTCTATCTGGTCCCTCGGCATAGAAAATGTCAAAAAAAAGTGTAAAAGGATTTTTGGAGAATGATTTAAGAAACACTATCAGCACAGCTTTCCTACTCTAGTTCCAGGGCACTTTCACAGACATAAACATGGTCATTGGTATTTAATGTGGGTACATGGCACAAATTTAATTTTCACAATGCACACTGTACATTAACGAGCATTTTAATATGTAAATAAATGTGCAGATTGGATATGCTTTAGATCATGAAAATTAACTATATGCTCAGAATGGAGGATGTCCCATCTCTCCCATTGATGAAGTTTGTCACAATTTTTGTTAAATCTGCCTTCTTCAATGCATTCAGCATAGATACTATTTCTGTGTAATATGCATAGGAATTTTTTAGGTGCTTTGTGTATTCACTATATATATATATATATATATATTTACACAGAGGTACCAAGAGACAGAAAGTAGGTCATGGGTTATAACTTGATGAATATGCAAAACTACACAACACAATGGACAAAACTTCAAAAGCATCCATGCACATTATCACACACAAGGCAAAATATAACCATATGAATTTTATAGAAAACTAAATTGTCTGCAAGTTATGCAAACAAACTTGCAAATGAATGCTCCTGTTGTGTAATATCTTCAGTTCATTTCATTTGTGAACATATTACACAAGGGGAGTATTCAGTATCACTCATCATTCATAACATTTTCCATATAATTGTGTTTTCTATTCCAGGATACAGAGTTTCTGCTGGTGCGCTGAGTGTAATTTATGTCAAAATTGGTGACAATATTAAACTTTTAGACCAAATCTGGAATATGGCTGTACCATGTAATTGAGAAATCTGTTAATTAGATATGAATGTATTTGAAGTGCAGTTCCATTGACTGTTTAAATTTAGACGATTAAATAAAGCCCTGTAAGTATCTGTGCAGTGTTTAATCAATTAATTCAGCAAATAAGAACGGGCAACAGCAAATAAAACATAATTACCAATGAAATATACCCCAATAGCTGCACATAGGTAAAACTGGATTGCTAACAATTTAAATTTAACATCACAGTATTCAGCATCGGAGAGTCCCAGCTATTTTTACACACATATCTGCCTCAAAACAGCAAGAAGAAATTTAACTTATATAAGTCCTTTCACATCGGGAGGAAGCCCAAAGCGCTGGATAGTTGTGGGTTTGCACCCGAGCTGGGGGTTGGATTTGGGAGAGGTTGGGGACAAGGGGGATGGGGGTGAGAAGATGACCAAAAGTGAGGTCAAAGAGGAAGGTCTTGAGATGGACCTTGAAGGAGGTGAAGAAAGGGGCGAGGCGAAGGGATTGTGGGATGGAGTTTCAGAGAGTGGGGACAGAAAGGTTGAAGATCCACTGCTGATGACGAGGTGGGCGGGGGACCAGACCAGTGCCTGCCGAACGGAGGGGGTGGGAGGGGTAGTAGGGTTTTAATCACGGAATGGAATAAATTCAAAATGTATTCCTTATTTTTTGTTTCTCTCTCCATTTTTGGCAAAGCTGACCCATACTAGGTTACAGCCCCTCTAAGGACCAAATACCTTTCCTGGTCGGATGGTCAGAATTCAACCAGATACAACTAGATCCAGTTGATTTTACAGATTTTTTTTGTTCCTTCATTGCACGCCTTAGTGTCAACCTGAGGTACGCTTGCCTCAGGTTAGAACATGTAGATGCAACAAGCATGTCTGGACTCTGAGCTCATAGTCTAGCCTGACCCTCCACTGCTGAGGGAAAGTATTGGTGGAGGTGCCATCCTTTGGATGAGAACTTAAACTGAGACCTGTTCAAGTGAACGTTAAAGATCCCTTGGCACTATTCGAAACGAGAAGGGAGTTTCTCCCGGTGTCCTGGGCAAAAATCCTGATAAAATTTGTTATTTACTTCATGGCTGTTTGTGGGACATAGCTGTGCCAATTTCCTATGCGCAAATTGGCTACCACATTCGCATTGTAAATATACAGTCAAATACACTTTACAGTAAATCCTGTGAGACATTTCAAGAGTGTGATACTCCAAACAATGCATGCATTATTATTAAGACTTGTGACCTGTGATTCCTGGCATGAGGAAAAGAACAAAACACAAATATTGAAACTGAGTGATTGCACGTCTGTTCAATCAATCCACGACTGTGGGACACTGCTGTGAGCAATTGGTTGCCTCATTTTGTTCACAAAATGCGCAGTCAATTCACTTTGCAATATATTCTGTGAATCACTTTAAAATGTCTCCACGACATGATAAGGTACTATATCAACAACAATAAAATTACATTTGTATAGCATCTTTAATGTAGGGAGGAAGTCCCAAGGCGCTGGACTGTCAGTGGTTCAGACCCGGGAAGGGTGGAGGGCAAGGGGGGAAACAGGGTGTTCGAAAGCACAGTCGAAATGGAGGGGCTTGAGATGGGTCTTGAAGGAGGCAAGGGAGGGGGCAAGGTGGAGGGACTAAGCGATGGAGTTCCAGAGGGTGGGGGCAGAGTGGCAGAAGGTCCGCCTACCAATGGAGCTGGCAAGGCGGAGGACGTGAAGCAGACCGGAGCAGGCAGGATGATAGGGGGTTTGGAGGTCGCAGAGGTAGGGAGAAGCAAGACTATGGAGGGCAAGCATTATTAGTATTATAGGATGTCTCAAAGCGCTCCATTGCTAGGCACCCAAACTGGGGTAGGAGCCGAGGGAGGTGGGGCTGGGGAGTAGAAAGGATAACCAAAACTTGGTCAAGAGTTTGATAGTGGGGCAGGTGGGGTGGGGAGTGGGCATGAAGCAAGTCGGTGTTTGCTGAGCAAAGGGAACAGCTGGGTCAGGAGATCACAGTGGTACGGTGAGGAGTGGGGTCCAGAGAGGAGTTTCTCACTGGAAAAAGAGGGAACTTGTGAGGACAGCACGGCATGTTGCTCGGTGTCTATCCCCAGTACCCCCATCCCCCACCATGGTGGTCGACACAGATTTCAGATCTGCATTGCATTGATGTGCAGGAGGGAGGGGTAGCCCCAAGTTAGAAATGGTTTCCAGCCCGTGGGCCGCCAGTTACCACCTTGCTCTATATCATAGTCACCATTGACTAGCTACATGAAGACCAAATAAGTATTAGTATTTAGCTCAATGGCATATCCTGTTAGGTAGTAGCAGCCATTACAATGTGCCCAATTCTCGAACTGTAAAAGTAGCTCAGTCGGGAAAAGTAATCTACTTCTTTCATCTCTAGATGTTCCTATAAGTGCAATCTAACTCTCAGGATTTTGAATGGCATGGGAATGATTCAGCATATTTATATCTTTGATCTCCGTTGGTGAGATACTAGCAATATTTTGTTCATTTTTCCTGATGGTCTGTCCTCATTTGTTTGTGGTTTGGCACTTAGATAATATTCATCAATGGCTACGAAGTATAACCTAAAAACCTGACTTCTTTTTTCGTCTCTCTCGGTAATAGACTTAATGACAACTGGGTGGTAGATTTCAGGGTTGTTAATAATCAACTGTATGATTACTTTTCTTTCTATGAGAGATGTAGTCTGTGTATATGCTGTACCTTGGTTCTTTGCTATTTTGGTCATGCAATACAGAATATATTATGAATTAAGTTGATTGACTTCATATTCATTTAAAAAATCCTCTTGTAAATTTGAGCTCCAATAAAAATATAAAGGATAAATTGGTAAAGAGGGAAAAATATGGTAACAAGATTGAGAAAGAATGATTTTCAGATTGAATAGCAACTAGAAAAGGCCTCTTGTCTTTAAACAACTCTCAGTATGATTACTACACTTATAGGCGTTCTTGTTTCTCTTTTGAAAGCCTTTTAAAATGTTTTTCAAATTTGCTATTTGACTATTGAACAAAGAGAAGAACTAAACTCAGCCATTTCAGTTTCATAGCAAGCTATTAGTGCTACAGAGCTGCTGTAAAACAGTGAAATACAGACAGGGCATGTACTCACATCTTTAGTTACAGGATAGGTTGTCTGAATAATGCTGGTATTCTTTCCTTTGGTATGGTAACTTTAGACTAAATAGCAGTGTTGCCAAACTACAGGATTATAATCTTTCTGATCTGCTCTTCTTGAAAAGGCTGTAATTCAACTATTGTTTTGCAGTTTTTGTAGCACATCCTATTAGGAAGGGGTATTATTGATGATGTAACAATAGGTGCAACAGGTTTCATAGTAAATTACTGTATTGCAGGATGTAATGAAGCCTTTTTTATATCTTTTATTTTTAAATTAAGCAGAGCACCAATAACTCTTCATGATTGTAATTCTTCTGAGTCATTAATGATTGCCCACATACTTTTTTAAAATCATTTTTATTGTAACATTGAGTTCTGTATTTAGTTTAAAAAAAGCATCTCCAAGAAGTTAATGGGTTATGTGGAGTCCTGTAGCTCAGTGGTTAGAGCACTCGCTTTGCAAGCGAAGGACCTGAGTTCAATTCCAGGCAGGGCGAAACCTTGGGCAAGTTTCCTTACTCCACACGCCTAATAATAATCCCTCCAAAAAACCAAAACAATAATAAATTGGTCATTTTCAATCTACGACTGTTTGTGGGACATTGCTGTGCGCAATTGGCTGCCGCGTTCGCCCACAAATATACAGTCAATTCACTTTACAGTATGTTCTGTGAAGCGCTTTGGGACGTCCTCCCGACGTGAAAAAGCGCTATATCAAATGCAAGGATTATTATTATTATTATTATGTACGTTCATTCCTATTGATATCAGAAATATTTGACCATTGAACAAAGAACCCTGGAAGAGGGGAACTTCCATAGCACTAGCTACTATTTGGAAAATTACCATTAAAACAAATCCAAGCATCTTGGGTACTAACTTCAGTCACTTTCTCAAGATTACTAAAACAATTCTATCATCAATTCAATCATCGAATAATTATCACAATTTACATGAAACTCAAGAATGTGCTGCACAACATATCTACGTGTACACTACAGATCACAAAAATCACACCGAGTTTGGACGAATATAATCCAAACTAAAGTGTAATTTGCCAAAATGTACTTATGCCTATCCCAAATATCATGCTATGTGTCTGTGGGACATTGCTAATTGCAAATTGGCTGTCACGTTCACATACAAATCCCCGTTGGAGAAACCAGACAAGTCCCAGTCTGGCTTCTCTAATGGGCAAGAAAAAGATACAGTAGTCAAATTTGATTCCGTAAAAAAATCAAGTCAATGGGACAACAATAACAACAACAAGATTTCATTTATAGAGCGCCTTTCACATCGGGAGGATGTCCCAAGGTGCTGGACAGTTGGGTCGGGACCCAAGCAGGGGGGAAATGGTCAGGGTGAGGGGAGGGAAGGGAGGGAGCGAGGAGGGGGTAGAGAGTCGAGAGGGGAGCTGAAGGCACGGTCGAAGAGAAAGGACTGGAGACCGGCCTTGAAGGAGGAAAGGGAGGAAGCAAGGCGAAGGCACTGGGGGATGGAGTTCCAAAGCCTGGGGGCTGAGAGGCTGAAGGCCCGGCCACTGATGGTAGGGCGGTTGGGGCGGGGGATGTGGAGCAGACCGGAGCCAGAGGAACGGAGGGTACGGGCAGGTAGGTAGGGGGATAGTAGGTCGGAAAGGTAGGAGGGAGCAAGGCCATGAATGGCCTTGTAGGTGAGGATGAGGATCTTGAATTCGACAATGTTCATCTACAAAATACAGTCACTACACTTTACAAAAAATCCTGTGAAACGCTTTGAGACATCCTCCAGAGATGAAAGGCGCTATATCAAATACAAGGATTATTATTTTATCAACAAGTAGTGGATTGTTTCTCCAGAGTATTTATTTATTTTACAAGTTAAAGTGGGCTATTTTAAATCTGATATTGCAATAGTAATCCTAAATTGGAATAATGGAGTAAATTCTCCAATGTTTTACAAACTAACAGAGAATAG